CCATTTTGTACGCAGGTGCGGCGAAAATGCACTCAAAGCCCGCATATGTAGATTGTGATCGCGATCTATGTACGAGCGGAAACCAGTTTAAATATTCTTGGAAGCGAATTAAACGAAAGATATAAACCGAAAGAAGAGTGTATAAGTCGTACCGTTGTAAAGACAATGGTAAAGCAAAAAATAATTAAAAAAAAACGTGACTTTTACACAGTTTTAGCAAGTGTTTGGGAAGTACTTTAAGGATATTGTACTTAAAGTACTACTTCGAGCAGGTTTAGAAAACGGGTACTTTACTTGAAGTACATTCTCTGAGTATGTACTTGAACTGAGTATGTACTTGAACTGAGTATGTACTTGAACTTTCTCTTCCCAAGGAAAGTACAACTCCCAACTTCAATGTACACTCCCAAAATTTGGTCTTGTTGAATTTGTGTCATAAAATCATGTTTTGTCAACAAATAGGTGGCTTATAAGTTATATAAGGCACTTATTTGTTGACAAAGCATCATTTTGTGATACAAAACAAGATCAAATTTTGGGAACGTACATTGAAGTTGGGAGTTGTATAAGTTGATCGCGTGAACAGTTCGTCAGCGAAAGTAATACCACTACTCTGTGGCCACTTGACTTTATCCAATATTCTATGCCTTTCCAAAAATAACTGATGCAACCATGATTACCCTTGGGGCAATGCGCCTACCAGGGGGAATGAAAGGGCATCTTGAAAGGCTTTGTTAAAAATAACTTGTACTTGACCTTGAAGGCATATTGTATTTATAGTAATTCATGTAATTTGCACCCAGTGTACTTACTACTTTACTTAAAATACAAAAAGTATCCCCCCCCCCCACCCACACACACCAAAAAATTGCGCTTTTTTGTGTTTTTTTTTTTGTTTTTTTTTAAATTAAACTACATTTATCGTCGATCACTCATTTTTTACCCAAATGTGCTGGAGGTACGAACCATGTGCCAACTTTTCAGCACTAACCGTCGACACAGATCTCGATTGCATGAGGCTCTATATGCACCAGTTACCAAAAACGGGCAAAAAAAGAGCCCCATTTTCTCATGGAAAATTTCGGAAAAACACGTAACTTTTTAATAAGGAAACGGTTAGTGCTGAAACTTCGGCATATTGTTCGAATCTCTCGTGCTACATTTGCGCAATTTTTTTTTTTTTTTTTTTTTTTTTTGGGGGGGGGGGGGGGGTGAGAGAGAGACAAGCTGCACATTACTTTTTTTTTTATTTAATAACGTACTTACTTACTTCGAGTATCGGGTAACATAGTTGTGCTACCCTGAACCTATCTCCTTCCCAAAACTAAAAAAAAAAAAAAAAAAAAAAAATTGCACGAAATTTGTTTTCGCGTTTTTAGACGCCAAGTGAGGTCAGTTCTTGCATTCATCACACATACCTTAAAAATCAGAACCGTAAAAAAAAAAAAAAAAAAAAAAAAGTTTTTATGTAAAATTTTTGCAGGGAAAAGATGCTTCTTGAAATATGAAGCTTATGCTTTACTGACAAAACAGTAAACGCTTTACTCCATAAATAAAAAGTAATGCAAAAGTAACGTGTGTTCCTTTTTACCGTTTCCTGCAACTTGTTCCTTTTATCTTGAAGTGACGTAGGTCGGTAACGTTTTCCTTTTTATTTGCAAGCAACGAGTAGCTTACTTCGTTTCTAAATTCTTGAATTTTACCGCCATTTTCTTTGTTAACGTTGTTGTTTTTGTTGAAACCTTAGTCCTCAAAATGGTCCAAATGATCCCCTCCATTCATTGCAGATGGTGGGAAAATATTGGAAAGCGCAGCCGATCCTGCCCAGTTGCTCTTGAATGCAAAACGCTTATGACTTTCGCGCCAAATTTTTTTTATTGTCGAGCGGCTTCCTGAAGCTCTGCACTCTCGTTCACTCTGGCTAGGTGGCGCAAGCCACCGCCCAATTAAAAAGGGTTCAGCCGTATACCCATCCTACTACTCATCGAATGAACACACACACAAATAGCAGCCCGTGTGACACTGTGACCAGAGTGTCGAACCAATTTTTTTATCTGTGAATTTCAGTTCAGTTCTGGGTAGTAAAAATAGCGGTTAAAACCGGTTTGAACCGAATTGAGAATATGCCTTCCGAGTTGATTTGGCAATAGGCAGTATTTCTGCCGTAAAGCGAATAGCTGTAGATTTTTCTTTTATCGTTTCTGCAATTTATTTTTATTTTTTAAGGGGGAGGAATTGCGTGACTTAATTTTGACGCCACATTAACTTACAAAACGTCGTGTTAATACGGCTCAAGATCCATTTGTTCACCTCAGTTATATATATATTTGACCTGAATTGAAAGGTTGCCACGAAGAGTGGCAGCTCGCCTAAAATGCCCGTGATTGGTACAACTTTGCGTCGCGCTATTAGAAGATGAATCGTGGTTGTGCTCTGAAAGTAAAGAATTTTTTTCAGTGTATAAAATTATTGAATGGCGACCTCGTCGCTACATATATTGTGAAACATAGCTCACGAAATATGTTTCAAAATATAATATCATGACGACGCAACTGAGCTAAAAGTCATATATTCAAAATGTCACCAAAAGTTTTAGGACAAGCCGTTTCAGTTTACCTCGTACAGAAACACTGAGCGGCAATCACAATGCTTGTTTTTCTAAACACCATTGTTCAGATTCAGCAACGTGATACAGGTAAAGAATCATGCAGAAAGGAAAGGCCAAAATTGTTGACTTTAAACCCAACTTCGCACTCAGATCGATGCTGGCATAAATAACGCGTACACAAGTGATCACTTCTCTTATACAGGGTGAACTGTCAGAGCCTGGCTGTTGATGTTTGTTTTTCACAAGATGCCGGTGAATTCAATTAGAGAATAAGCATCACCCTTACTAATTGATAACTTGTTAAAAAGAAAAAAAATTAATATATTTGACGTTCTACTCGACATGGCCAGCTTTAATTGGCTGCTTTCTGACGGTCTGCGTGCGTAATCGTCATAGATCCGCCACGCGCCCCTAAGAATTTTGTTATTGTCCAGCCCACAGACACATAAAATTGCTGTTCGTCACATATAAAAAAAGAAAATAACGTCCTCTTACATGTTTGAGGAGTTATATCTGTGTCAGGAACACATAGTTACTTAAATCAACTTGAAATACATATGCCTTTCGAGGATAAAAAGGCCGGAAAAGAAATTTGCATAGAATCTTTCAGCGTCACCACCCTACAGTAATTAAATTACTTTTTGTTGACATCAATATATTTGATCAGCTCAAATAACCGCTTGAGACCAACACGGAAACATGTTTTTTGATCGCTGTTTGGCAGTGTGAAACACCCGGGTCGCGAGGTATGCCAAAAATGGCTTTTGCTCACATGATAGATCTGAAGACAAACACATGAAATGAGCAAAAAGGGAAAGATCATATGGCATAAAAAAAAAAAAATGCATAGAGATGTAATACTCATGATAGCGCGAAGGACAGTGGAAGATTCTTATAATCCTAACATAAATCACATTTTGGACTTGGCCTCAGCTTGCACGAACTCGAAACTTCGCGAAATAACGCCTTGGGAGGCTAATGTTACATTCGGTTTTACGTGCACCTGCTTTGGGTCCTTACTTTACGATTGTTTGCTTCATCGGACATGTGCTCTAACATTCTATTAGGCTGGCGCATATCATCTTAAGGCTGTTATATATACTGCGCAACTTTACAATTTAAAAATCTACTTTGTTGCGAACATTGCATTTCACCAGAAAACTGAACTATTTAACATGGTTTGCAGGTGACTTCATCGGCACAGAAAATAAATCCGGTGATGCGAAATGCACGCTGCAGAGGGTTCGCGCTCACTAGAAAGTCCGCCACAATAGCGTTGACGTTGATAACTTGCGAAACACACATTAGTGTTTCTCTGCAAACATTGGCAGACGCAGAAAAAATAAAGGAAAGAAACAGCTTTTCTCTCCCCAACTCGGAATTAGAACAAGTGGCCACGTGATCAGAGTTCATCATAGCCATGCGCTGGGATGGCAAAGCATAGAGCGTGGTCTGAGCATCAAATGTTGTTAGGAGTTTCACTATTCTCATCTTCGATATTGAACACGAGCCATTATCCGAATGTTTAGCGATACTGATTGTCATGAACCCGAGCACTGAACTCGGGCTCATGGCAATCGAGTACGTCATGGTGTCACATGACTCAATGTGCGAAGTCACGTGACGCCGTCATGTGACGTCACGGTGTACACAAAGCAACAACGCTAATAAATCTAGTGATGTTCTCAATTTATGCAGCGAGTCCCGGGTCGTCAAGGGTTACGTGTTATGACGTTGTTACTTAACAGCCTGTCTTGACACCACTCCCATATGTCGACTTGATCAATACATAAAAATACAGCTGCCAATTTTTTTTTCAAATATTTATTTTGTACTATTAACAAACAAAAAAAAAATATCGTGAACCGTTTCAAACCGGCTACATTTTTATTAATTTATTATTATTATTATTATTATTATTATTATTATTATTATTATTATTATTATTATTATTATTATTATTATTATTATTATTATTATTTTAGTTCCTGTTTGGTTTTAAGATGGCGGCGAAGGTTTTGGTTCGGTTCCGGTTTGGATAAGAATGTCGGTTCGGTCCCGCTTCGACACTGACGCAAAGCTGGGCTAGCATCACCAAATAGCTCGGGCCAACATTGCGACAGGAGATTTATTGTTCGTGACTTCGTACACAGTCCTTCATGGTGCAGTTTCTTTTCTCTCCAAACCAAGGTCTCATCGGTCTCATCTGGTTCGCGGACCGCTCTCTAACCAAAACTACAGCTACTGCAACGGAAATGGTGCAGTTAAAACTGCCCTGTGTTCACAGAGCCAATAGAACGCTGTGTCGTTTACCCAGTTAAACTCACTGCATGTCGCATTTCACCACTGTGCGCAGCTGCTAAATGGAAGATCTGATGTCATCTCATTCCAGGGGGGTGAAAACCCCGAGCGCATCGAGACTCGAGAGCAGATAGCGAAGAGTTTGCATAGGTGGCGCGAGCCGCGGCCTAAACCTCGGGGTTCAACCGTGTTCATTGGTCCATTCATTCATCCGAGCATCGTCAGCACTGGCGTCTCCACTCTATAGATAGCAGCCGATGCTAAAAGTATCTCGGATCTCGACGGCCGCTGCATCCACTGCTTGGAGGAATGTCTTCCCCAACGAGGTTTGTGCACGGATTTGAGGCTTGACTTGCGTTAAATTAATCCTACACACGATTTTGAATCGCACGATCTAACCGTAAAACTGTGTCCCGCGTCCGCACTCGCGTTCACGCGCGACGAACATCTCAAAGGCGTCACGCGCGCGTAACCCTTAAAAAATAAAGATCCAAAATACACACGGCCAAAAACTAAACACACGCAAAAGAAAGGGGCGCCGAGAGATAGCGGTGCAAGCGAGCGTTCTAGTAAACAAAACAAAATGACAAAATTTGCGAGCCTTGCGGTTTGGGAGATCTGTAATAAAAATAGTGATCGTTTCCCCCGTCCGCGACCGTGTTTGGTGTGGTTTCGATTTGGGGATTAGGTCGGAGAAGTACTGTCCGCGTTCGGCCGTTCGGCATTGCGCAGTGAGCGAAATCCATCGTGTTTCGCTCCCGCGACGTCGTCGCCTTGCCATGCCGATTTCCGGCTGACCGTTGTACCGTCGCGCTTGCGTCCCGTACAGTCGAGCAAGAGCGACTTGAAAACTATGAAAACTGACTTAATGGTTTGTCACATTATCTTGAGGTCCTTCGCTTTCATCTGAAATAATGTGTATCGTATCCGGAACATACAGTTTACATCCCTTTTTGTGTTCTCTCGAGCGGGTTTCTGAGTGGGAGTTCGAACCTCTAACCTAAAAAAATAAGATTAAAAACATTAAAGAAAATGTCGATGACTCATGTGAATGCCATGTGGGCGGTCGCTTTAGGTAGGTACGGCAGCCGGAGCACGCTTTTTTCGCTAAATATGGTACAACCGGCAGCATGGGAAATACAATTAATCTGGCTAACGAAATATCGTGTGCGAGAATGAAATATTAACTTTTTTTCATGAAGATTTCCTTCTCACTGTGTGATTTCCGCCATCGTACCCTTCCGGGTAATATTCTAGACATATATATATATATATATTTTTTTTTTTTTTTTTTTCATATTTGTTTTAACCGTCAACTCCAAAAAACTTCTGTCACTCATATCTGTCCGTTGCAGCATAAGAAATGCAGGGCAAGCAGCTCCCACAAAGTTATCCACTCTTTCCACTTTAGCAGAATGAATGCTGGAGAGGAGGTGAGAGAAGAGGCAGTAACTACCAGTCATGGCAGGCAGAGTGCTTTGTGGGCGGGGCTCCTCCCTCTATTCTTAACCTGCAACAGACCTTAGGCTTACCTGCCGCACGGCCAATCAGCCATAAGGAAGTGAGGAGGCAATCGCCGACAGAAGTGGGCCCCGGTTGCTTCTTTTCCCCTCTCTCTATCCATCTACCTATCAGCAGATGGGTAGAGAGAGAGAGGGAAGGAGTTTCCGTCTATCTGTAAAAGGGTAGATGTTAGAAAGTATGCGTATGAATGAACCATACCGATCGAATGAACAAAGGTTATGAAGCCGCCGAAAGACAATCTTTGGTGGCACCAAGATTCGAACCAATATTCGTTCGGGTCAATATTCAACCGGATATTGGGAGACCCGGGGTTTAAATCCTGGCGTCTCCAAAGATTTTTTCTTTTTTATGGTTTCGTAACCTTCATTCCATTCGATCTGTACTGGTTCGTTCATCCATATATTATTGAATATTTCCTCTTTGGAGTCTGCGTAAGACGATGAAAGTGCCCCTAAATAGATATAGATGGATACATCGAGGGAAAAGCTTTGTGTATCTATACAACCCTGGTCGACACGCCGTTGCAGCTGAGGACAGGGCAAGGGGTCTCCCCGAGGATGCGCGAGATGGCCTCCCGTGCCCGCCAGCCTGACCAGCCGGCCGACGTGACGCATCCAAAGTCCGGCACCACGAGTCCCTCGGAGACCTCAGACTCCAACTCCGAGGCCTCAGTGAGCAGCGACCAGCGGCGCCTGATCCGCCGTTGCTCGCTCATCTGCTCCTCCGGGTCGGACAAGTTCACCTTCGACAGCCGGTGCGACCCGGACGACCCCGGAACGCCCAGGTAACGCCCTCGGCCGACGTCCTTACGGTGCCGGAAGGCGTCTTTGGCTGATGTGTTTTTTAGCGTTCCGTATTGCCCGTGCATTGAAAGTGGTACCGAAGTGGCAATGAAGTGTGTCACAAGAGCTGGTGTGTCATGCTGTCGGATGTCGCGGTCCTGTCAGTTGGTTACAAAAGTTCCCAGGAGAAACGACGAGAGAATGTGAGTGTCGCCTTCGTCGCAGCTCGTGGTGGCCGAGGCTTTTCGTAAACTGTCAGACGGGCATCTGCTGCACCTACTTCCACTGCCGTGACAGTGCCGGGATCGTTGCAGACGACAGCTTGACACTTCTATAACTCATTGGATGGAAATCGAGGAGCTTTAATTGAGCAGACAACAAACACATCAGTCAGAGACGCGTTCCAGATACATACTGTTGTTGGGCTTTGGTGCTCAAAAGAGTTTTTCACTGGTGTTAGGGTGCGGACTCCTGTGCCGGGGTCGGATGTTGCGACGCCGGCCGGCCCGACCATCAAGCGCAACGCTCTGCTCCACCCGGGGCGGGTGGACCTCCAGCGGTCCGTGTCCGAGAATGGGCGCTTCCAGAACCCATGGCCCACGTGGAGGCCTCCGACCATCACCAATATCTTCAAGTTTGGGCTGTCCAGGGACAACAGCAATGTGCCTTCCAAGCAGGTGGGGCCTGGGTCACTCTCGCGAGCTATATAGCGTTTGTTGTGGATGCATTTTGAACAACCGCTGATCGACAGCAAATGAATTTGGGACAGCCGGTTGAGCTTGCCTGGTCTGGGTGACATCCCACTAAGCTTTCTTTAGAATTATGCATCTACAATAAGCTACCTCGTCAATAGGCAGCAGTGTAAAAGCAGAGGCAACAGCAGACCTTCAGAAACAAATGTAAGAAGTGAGAGTGCAGGAGAGGCGGTTTGGAAACGAGATACTTGTAAACTCTGAGATGGAGAAAAAAAGACGAACAATATTTTCTCAACCTCATGGTTTACAAGCATTTAGAAAAAGACATTTGTGTTATGGCACAATAGTTAATGTTTGTAGCAGTGGTGGGCCACCCTTGTTATCTTCCTTCGTCGTGTCTGTAGCATTGGCAATGGCTTATCCTCAAACATTGTGGCTTTGTTTGCGGTGTGCTTGTTTATCTGTTCTGCAAGCTGGCTTTGTCACATGGTTGCAACGTTTGCGGTGAAGCCTCCTTTCGGTTCTGCTGAGGACTTCTGTGGCAAGTTTTGCCAAAATGAACTTGGAATCATGTGAGGAATATACTGATAACTGAACCTTTCTACTTGTGTCACTTTGGACAAGCACAGAATTTTGTGTGAGGCCTATCTTCTGCAAGATTGAAATAGCTGATACTGAAGTGTCCAATGTTGTCGGTGCTTTTCATGCGAAATGATCTCTAGTAAACTCTTGTTTGGATGAGATGCATTGCACCTTGACTTGTTTCTTGATGGAGCCAGTGTTACAAATCTATGCAGTGGCTAGGTCTTTTTCTATAGCACGTCTGACATTTTTGTTCCTAATGTGAAAGTTTTAATTGGAGAAGTATAGTCAGTAATATTCATTGAGCACAGCTGCTAGGCATGCTTGAAATGAACTTTCACTTATTTTTCTCATGATATCCTCGACAATGTGTCATCCACATCTCAGTACATGCTCAGCAGCAGTCAGCAATGGACTCGGCTCTAGCTTCCGGTCTATATCAGTCATATGTGTATTTTATCCAATCCTTTACTTTTTCAAGCAAATAACTTGACTTTTAAACAGTGTTGCTCCCTCTGTTGACGACCTATTGCAGGCATCCATGTCTGACAGCCTTCTTTCCTAATAGTAATGTTAATGTCCACAGGCTCTTTCAAACAGCCTCGTCGTACCGCTCTGTCGACACGCTAGATTTCTGCTCGTTCATGGGTGTGCCGCAGTTTTCTTGCCTCCACCTAGATGTACAACAACTCGTAGCGCGCTTTATCTTCTATGGGCACGTCTTATGTCCTACTACAGTTTTCCCCGCTACAGGCAGTTGTTCACAGACACACAAATGAAAAAGTGATAATGATGATAGTTCGGTAACGTCACAAGTATGATCGTGTCGGAGTGTCCTCTGCCCAACGCCACCTGGCTTAAAAAGCAACAATGCTGAATTTTCTATCTCACCTACCGCAGATTGGATGTAAGCACTGCGTCATTTTTTGGCAGGGATTCATGTTTGGGTCATCTTAGCCAAACGCCAAGTGACATAGAAAATTCAGCTCCATGGCCATCTATCTGGGAGGTGTCTCCTGCTCAGCGTCTTCTCCTCCGCTCCAGGAGCTGGACCTGGTGCTGCCGGTGCTGAGCCCCCGCTTCCAGGACCCCCCACCCGAGGGCGTGCGGGTCACCTGGCTGGGCCACTCCACGGCCCTTGTGCAGATGTCCGGGGCCACGGTGCTCACGGACCCGATGCTGAGCGAGCGGGCCTCCCCTTCCCAGCTCCTGGGGCCCAAGCGCTTCCGGGAGGCCCCCTGCACCGTGGCACAGCTGCCCCGGCTGGACGCGGTGGTCATCTCCCACAATCACTACGACCACCTCGACTTCAACACCGTGCACCAGCTCAATGCCAGGTGGGTGCACAGACATCGCCGTTTTCGTGGCTGGAACCGCAGACGTGCACATGTTACCGAAATAAAGTAACTTAATACCGTTATTCGTTGTTGCTCAAAAATGAACTAATTACATGGACCCTTCTGCCCATTAATATCAGGTTGAGACGAATTAAATTATTCTTTAAAATTAGTACATGGTCATTGCTTTATTGATATTCATAAATATGTTACATATGCAAACTTTGATAACGCATATTCATAAATATGTTACATATGCAAACTTCGATAACGCATATTCATAGATATGTTACATGTGCAAACTTCTATAATGCCCCAGCTGGAGCAAAGCAACAAATTTATTTTGCCTCATCGCTTCAATGAAGATTATTTTAGAAACTTTTTCTGTTAAATGTATCGCCGAATGGAACTGCCTGTCCACGGATGATGTAAATAGTGAAAATGTGTGTAATTTTCTTGATAATATTCTTAATGCTCAAGTGTGCTTGTACTTTTAAAAAATGCCGACCAACCTCCCTCGACCTCAAGGCAAGCAATATTCTAAAATAAATCAATAAAATTACTCGTTACCAGTGCTGGCAGTAACGCATTACAAGTTGCGGCACATTACTTCTCCCAGTAACATAGCAACATACCGGTTACATTTTTCAAGCAATAAGAGAAAACAATGTTACTTACTTCAAGTAACGGGTAACATAGTTATGTATTTGTTGCATCTTTTTCCCGACACTTCAAAAAGTTATACAACAGCTAAATAAATTTCTTTTTGTGCGTTTTTAAGTGCCAAGTTATATTAATTCTTGCACTCATCCTACATACCTTGGGAAATTTTGCCTCTTTCTCCATGCAAACAGGGCTAAGAAAATATTTCAAACTAGCAGAAGGTAAAGCTGACAATGTAGTTTTTAAGTGTCTTTATATGGCACTCATGCATATCAGTGAAAGCAATGCACATTCCTTTAGTTCGGCAAGAATAATCCATTCCTCTTAAGTTGTAGTAATGTAGGCCAGTAATGAGTTCCTTTTACTTGCAAGTAACGAGTATTGCATTTCGTCACTGCTTGTTACTGCTTCTAACAATGCTAGCTACTGCAATTAAAGAGCAACGCGTTAGCAAAGTTTGAAAGCGACGCACAATTTTCTCGTTACTCCGGATGCGTCATTTTTAGGAAGCAGTAGCCGCAACTTATGTTTGCTGTCGTTGATAACTCTAGCTTTTTAATGCGTTCGTTCAGGGATCACTTTGGCTCTATACTGAGATACCTTGTGTGCATCTTTTTATTGTCTATCAGCGTTTTCTTGTAGTGCAAATCACGGGCATGAGTTGAGGTGTCGCTAGGTTGGGTATTTTTTTGTGTCGTACACAATCCGCCTTAGAATTAATTAAATATTGTCACTCGTTATCTCATCAAACCGTAACGAAGATAGTTACTTGTTCCTACTCTTAAAAACTAACTATAGGTTAGGTGGTTACTTCGTTAATAGGAAAGGTAACTATAGGCATAAGTAACGCGTTACTCGTAACATGTTACGTACAAGCCAACGTGGAACACGCCTTCAGGCAGGCATATACTGTGTCAATCTTCATTTGAGGTTTCGTGATTTCTGCCCAATGATATCACACTTGCGTCGTGCTGGTGTATGCCGTGACCCTGGCGGTGGTACAGCGGTGGAGGCAGACACAGCAAACGCCCGGTTTGCTGACGGTCGCTATCGAGCCCTAGCGAAAGACTGAGAATTAGTTTCGATCACCTGTAGACCTCCCAAAGTGGGGCTGACGTCTCGGTTACATGACGCCTTCTCCACAATGAGCCATTGTCGGATTGCGGGCACCTCAGCCGGGATTCCAACCCGCCAACGGACCCATTGTTAGAGTACCCAAGCACCAAAGAGTGTGCACGAGCGTTGTTACACACGCTGCACTTGCTGGAGTCAGCAGCAGCAACTGTTCTAGAACAGAAGCCCAAAACAAATGGCACTTTGCACTCGCGTTTGTCAACGCCTTGTTTTTATTATTTACATTCAATCTTTGACAGTGAGTGGATGCAGCATGTGTACCATGTTCCCAAAACCTTTCTCGATGCTTGGGTAATTCGGCAAAAGGTCTACGGTGGATTCGTAGGCCAAAGCTTCGCATACCGAGCCAGCGAGACGGCTAAAATGAATATCTGATAAATAATTTTATAGATTTGCGACGTATCTCGACACGATGCGGCATCCTTGACCCTGGTTGCAGGTTTGAGGACAGCCTGCGCTGGTTCGTGCCTCTCGGACTATCTCACTGGATGGAGCAAATGGGCTGCGAGGACGTGGTGGAGCTGGACTGGTGGCAGAGCGGCCACCTGGCGGCAGGGGGTGACAACGACATATCCTTTGTCTTCACCCCCGCCCAGCACTGGTGCAAGCGGACCATCAGCGACGACAACAAGGTGTGGGCAGTGACACCCCTTCTCCCTCCTCGTGTTTTAGCCTTCCGTTGTTGACATATATAGTTGATATAATAAGCCTATAGACGAGAAGGTTCACCATCTTTTTATGAAGTCTGGCTTCTTGGAATGGCAGGGCACAGCGGCAGACATTGGTGGCCCCGGTAGACCTAGATGGCTGGCGAGGATTTAATTAGTATAAAGTTTAGCAACAAGATATCACTCACGAGGCCAGTAGCTGTTTTTTTCTTAGCTTTAAAATTGTTCCTAATTTAGCGTTAAAATTGTTCCTAATTTAGCTTTAAAATTGTTCCTAATCGCCATCACCCCCTCTAGAACCTCGCAAGATGTGCTAAACGGATACGAAAGCTTAGGATATGTAATTCCTGCAGACGGGCAATGGAGTGAAGGCAGAAAGATGCATGTGGGAGGAGAAAATGAAGGGGAAATCAGCTGTAACGATTGGTCACTAAAGCAAGAAATAAAGAAGGAGGTTCTGCGCTCTGGTGTTTGAGGCGAGGTAAGAACAAAAACGTATAGGGCCAAATTTGAGGACACAGATATACAATGTGCACAGTACAGTATAGACCACTTACAACGTAACCGCTTATAGTGCAAGACCGGGTATAACGCAGCTTTTTTAAACCACCAGTTCGCCTCCCATAGAAGTCCATGTAATTACATACCGCTTAAAATGCAGGCGCGCGAAGGGAAATACCGGTTATAGTGCGGTTTTCGGAGCAGCCCGGCGACCGCGCCGACTGACCGACGCAGAGAGCATGCTTCCCTGTGCGACATTAGATAACAGCGCGAGCGGCGCGAGTCGCAAGGCTGCAAGGGGCACTCGCGGGGCAAGGAGGTTTCTCGAAGAAGCGGGGAGAAGCAAAGAGAGAGGCTTCAGTTGCCATAGCGACGGAGCGACGCATGCACGTGTCGTTCACGTGCGTGCGTCCCTCCGCCCCTCCGCTGCGTTGGAAACAACCGCAACGACAGACCAATGGCAGATCGAGGAGAAGCGTTCGCGCGCGTTGCATGCCGGTCGCGGGCCGGCCGGCCGGCTGCTTCTATCCGTAAACATGGCGTCGGTTTTGATCGTTGATGTAGACGGCGTGGTAGAAGCTCATCGTTCCGCGTAAAAGCGCTATCCTTGACTGTGAATTTTCGTTGTGTGTCGCTATGATCACGACGACATGGCAGAAAGGCCCTTGTCGTCGTGTTGGTTTACTTTGACTACAGTGGTGCTTTCTAAGCATTTGTGTTTTCGAACATCGCCCGGATTTCTTATTTGGAGCATTTCGTGCCTGTGCTCAAGTTGAAGGTATTACTGGCGCGTATTGTATAAAGGATGCGAATTTTCACGTGTTTTCATCGCCGGAGAAAAGTGATTAGGGTTAGCAATCCTGAACGCTTGCAACGTCCGTCCGCAACCCGCGACGCCGTTAAAAGGCTGCGCCAGGCAACAGTCGCTAATTTCTTTCAAAATGTGTGACACACTTGAGAGAGAAGTGTACTAGTCTGGTGAAATAAAGACTTTCCTCAAACTAAGCTTTATTTTTCATCTAACATAAAATATATTCTTTTACAAAGGTAAGTTGTCTGATGGCATGCATTTTGGCCTGAAAAATTGATGTTTTGGTTATAGCGCGGTACCGCTTATAGTGCGGATTTTCGCGACTCCCGCGACATACGTTATATGCGGTCTACACTGTATGTAAGGAGGAGACGGAAACAATTGAGCGCGTGATTTAAAATGTAAGGAGCTTAGTCCTGCCCTTCCTGAAGGGGCGACAAACGTATCGGTGGCCCTTAACTTCGTTTGAGATGATGGAAGAGTGGATTATAAAAAAGTAGAGGCAACGAGAGGAGATTAGATTGCTGGTAGATATTATCTAGGGAAAATTGATTTAAGTACAACTACTAACTAGCACAGCTGGGAGACAGGCGGGAAAGAGGAGAATTGGGACCCCCTCCCGGGCGTGGCTCCGGCCCAAAGTCTCAACCCTGCCCCCAGGGGGTCGGGTGCTAGGCGATGCCGACAAGGTTTGGCCGGAGGAAAATTGGCGACTCCCTCGCCGGGCAGAGGAGGCGGGGGGTGGTGTTCTTAGTTTTTTTGCCCGATACCCAAATTAAGGTCTGCCTGGCGATCATCTTCACGACCTGGTGATAGTTAGAAAAACACATTGGCTTGGAAGGGGAGACCAGGTTTTTGTTATTGTTTTCAGGCTAGGTTGCAGACGCTGCCGCCCATTACAAAGGGTGCAGCCGTTATCATCCATTTACATATCCATTTGAACCTCCACGAAAAGTTTCAACTTGTGGGGTCAAAAGCCGATCGACACGTCCCACTCAATCGACGTCCCCCTATACCACCACGACTCGAGAAAGCCGTAAAGAGGGGAGGACAACTAATTAAGTCTAAATTTCTTGAACTAGAAAACAATACGGATCTTGCAGTGAGAGTGAGTTAATGTTCCTCCCCCTTTTGTGCTCGCTGCAACTTCTGTCCCTTCTCTGACCATGGCCACAGGTGCTGTGGGGCAGCTGGTGCGTGATGAGCAGCCAGTACCGCTTCTTCTTTGCCGGGGATACGGGCTACTGCGACGTCTTCAAGCAGATCGGCCAAGCTTACGGTCCCTTTGACCTGGCTGCCATCCCCATCGGGGCCTACGAACCCAGGTTGGATCCCCCCCTGTTTCGGCACAAAAGAAGTCTTGCCTCGATGGCTAGATGGCAGACTGTGTTTAAGGCTGAAGTTTCACGAAGAAATGCTTGAGAAAAATTTAACTCGAAGTGTAACGGATCGCTCCCTCGCTAGCAGAAAATTCTGAATTGAATTATACACCAATTGAAGTTTTCTCACTAAATCTAGAGAAGAAATTGAATTGATGTAGTGTATCATTATACACCAGTTCATGTTTTACCACTGGAAATTGAATTGGTGTGTCAGTCGCACCAATTTGGATTTTCCCCCAAAATTTAGTTGAGTATCTTTTTTCTGCTAAATTTGGTGGGCAAGTCGCATTCTCTGCATCGCGCCTTATCACGGATATTAAGCATTCTCGTGTGGGTTAGTTTATTTTTGAGAGTAATTTCATTTGCGTGCGCATGCAGGTGGTTCATGAAGTACCAGCACGTGAATCCGGAGGAGGCAGTGCTCATTCACAAGGACGTTCGGAGCAGGGCCAGCCTGGCCGTGCATTGGGGAACCTTCACCCTGGCCAATGAGGTGCGCTCGCTTTCAAGTCGTCTTGACACGGTTGGAATATGGGCCAGAACTAATCTGTACCACTTGTTGCGCGTGCGGAGGTGGAAAATATTGTGTTACCCTCGATGTAGTCCAGAGGAAGCTAGTTTAAAGCTGCCTGGCAAATCACACATACCCATATGGGACGTCCTAAAGAAGTCTGAATATCACATGCCAGAAGAGGACATCCATTCAACATACACAAGGCATTTGTTTCTGTATACTGTAAACAACCTTATTTTCGCAGGCTCGTAATTTCACAAATTTTACGAAGTGTAGGTTTCGTAAACATTTGACCGGCACGAAAATTCGCCTTTGGGAGTGGTATGCTGCCTATTTGTTACCATGGGGTAATATATTTTTGGGAGACACATTTTTTGCAATATAATTCAAGTCGCGAAATTATGTTTTTGTGCAAATTAATTAAAGTTGTTTCCAGTATATTAAAACTGGAGAAGTAGTCTTAGGGATGTCCAAACCAGAGCTCCAATGAATATCTGAAGAACGTCCATAAACAGCAGTAAGAGGTGCTCAAATAACAGTTGGAATGCACTGTAGGGGCTAGGAATGAATCGGCCTCATTTATTCCGAACTACCTCCGGCAAGCTTTTGCAAAACAGTCCCGGTAAAGTCTGGTTTGCATATAATAAAAAAAAATAATGGTGAAGACATAGTTTTCACCCCTATGCAAACAGGATGCTAAGGAGGAGGTGTTCCAAAGACAAAGAAAATACCTTAGTCCGTGCTCCTTTTATGTATGCCTTTTTCGTCTTGTTCCATTCATTAAGATGCAATATTAGCTATGGTCCTTCAGGTTCAGACTATAATTTCGTTCGCCCAGCCTGTCTAACTCAAGTCGACAGTTTGATGAATAGCCCGACACTTTCTTTTAGCTTGAGCCCACAATAGTCATTTACATAGCTTTAGAACAGAAGGCGGCGGGCTTTTCAGTTGCTCTGCCACAAGTGCACGATTTTCATGTTCACATTGTTGCATCACCCAAGCATCAATCATGCCCACACTGTCAAGACACAATCTAGATTGTACTTGAAGCAGGCTAACGCATGCATACACCCCACTGTCGTTCCTTCCTCGCTACACTAACCACCACAAGATAGGTCGAGGCGTTAGACTAATAGAGACTTTCTCGGCTCCCTCACAGTACTACCTGGACCCCCCGGTGAAGCTGCGCGAGTCCCTCGAGCGACACAACATTTCACCGCGGGAGTTCTTCACCCTCAAGCACGGGGAGTCGCGGCTTCTTCACGCCGCACCCCCCCGCCGAATGTCACGCATACCGTGATCGACCGCACCGACTCGTTTTTGTACCGTGGCACTGCGCAGAAGTTGCAAGGCGACTGTTCTGCCAACTCTGTTCCGACGACGTGCGGCGTTGGGGTACGTCGGATTGGCAGGCGCAAACGTTCAACGGAGAAGAAGCAATCGTCCCGGATCGATGGAACATTCTAGCTTCTTCGAGTTTTGGAAAGACGTGTGGGCTACATGGTCCGCCATTGAAGTGATTCTTGTTTGCTCCTTGGTTAGAGGAGGTCAGTCCGTCGTTTTTGTATTACAGCTTTGCGGAGGTGTTGTCGGACCGCCATTTGGATGAGTCTGCCACCGCCGCAGCCGCCATCGTTACGGCGGGTTTTGTTGTGAAGGTTACGCGACGTCGGTTGTGCTGCGAGCGTCCGGTATGGAATGACATCTCCGATGGTAGAGGGGAGGTCTTGTTTATTGGGACAAGGAAGCGACCCCATATTTGTTGGAAAACAAAGATTCACTAGCCTGTTGCTTCAGCTTGTATTCCTGGGTTAGGGAAGGCCATCTGGTACGAGTGATTGAGTGTGTGACCATGGCTCAGTTTGAGAACGGATCTGGTTGTGTGCTAGTTGCAAAGGCGTGTCCCGCCGTGGCAAGCCATGCACGATTGTGAAGATCTGCATGGCGTTCGTCTAGTCCGGTGGTTCTCAACAACCATTGATGTTTCGTGGACCCCTTGTGAATCGGCGGGGATGATGGAGGGCCCTGTTCGTGGTGAGGGGAAGGAATAGGTTAATTATGATAATAATTTAATAAATAGATATAACTAAGGGCTAGTGCAAAGTAGACTTCGCTCATTGACATATATACCTACACACGAGCACCCGAAAATTGGAAAGTTCCTTCTCCACTTAAAAAAAAAGAACTTTTATTGCCGGGCTCGACTGACGAGGCAGGACTTTGGGACACCTAGAATGCCTTCGCGGACCCCAAAGGGGTGGTGCTTGAGAGCACCCGATGTCAAAAGCCCCGTGTCAAATTTTTTGCGGCAAACGCCCCGGCCTTTTTGCCCCGCTTTCAAAAGCCCCAGTTTCATAAGCTAAAGACGCGAACCCCCGTGCCGGGTAGCTGGGTCCCCGGGGGCAAGGTCGGAGCATTCTCCTATTAAATAGGAGACGGCGAGTGTGCATGTGAGCTTGTGTAACGATTGTGCCATACCCAGGATTCGACTGAGGAATAATTGGATAAAGCTTTCCGTTCTTCAGGCGTACGCTATACGCATTCACGTCTAGCTACGTTAGAAGCGAGAACAAACGGAAGATATCGGTCACTGGCAAAACATTGGAAGTTACAGTTTTTATGAATAAGTGTTGAGCCAAAGCTTTCGTCGACTCTGAAGCACGCGCGAATTCACAGGTCAGACGTTTCTGTCAAAGCTGTTAATCCGCAGCTCGTGGCGCTGTACTTATTACGTATACAGCACCAAACACTAGTTCCATTCTTCTTACGCTGTTCTAAAATTATTTGTATCCATCTAGGTGGACAAAGCCTATAATTCTATGTCCGAGTATGCCTCTATGAGATTTATGCACTGGGCCACTTGTACGTCATTCTAAGTTTTTTTGCGGTTCAAGTTAACCTTCTATTCTTGTTTCTTTAACTTAAAAGAGCCTTTGTAGACCCTCAACGGATTAGGTTAGGACATAGAACAACGGTGGTTGAAGTGCAAAGAGGGCGGTACGGGGGCAATGAAGACAGGGCTTTTAGCACTGGGGGAATACGGGACAAGGTAATTGAATGCGGGGTTTGCGAAACATGGGGGCTAATCAGTGGCCTTGGAACAGGGGGAGGGGGGGGGCAACTGCGCTCTCCGACAGTTCAGAAATTCAATGGAAACAATGTGGGGAGGGGGCGCAAAATCGCTGTTGCCTCCCCACCACGACAACCGCCGCCCCCCATATCCTGAATTGTTTCGTCGTCTCTGGAGCTAATGACGCGGGGCAATCGTGCCACAAATCTTTCGAAGTGTCCGTGGACCCTCGTTTGAGAACCACTGGTCTAGTCTGCCAGGTGCACATAGCCATGCCTTAGCGAACAACAATACAAGGTGTGCACCAGAGCGTTTTCTATTCACAAAGACGCCAAGCAGATACTGCACGACATGCAGGTTGGAGTCTCGCTTCTTTTCTAAAAAACCCCTCCCCTCCCCTTCTTTATTTCCAGACAACTTTTTTTTAGGAAGGGTTTAAGTGTTATTGTTCTAGTCTTCTGGTTCAGCCCTAGTCGTTTTGTTGTTGTTTTTTTGTACAGAAAGGAATGTTAGTTTGTTTCCTGCTTTATTTATTTTTTTTTTTTTTTCAGTGGAAAAATGCTTTGAAAGCTGCTGTGTTGAGTGCACACTTTGCAAAGAGTGTTTGAACAAAACCAAAGGCACACGTAATTTAGATGCTATGAAATGAAAACTTTGGCAGGGCATGTGATACATATGCAGGTATTTAGAGGACCTTTTGTTTTTATACAGTTTTTGTATTCAAAATAATGCAAGAAGGAAATAGAATTTCAATATTACTTCTCCCCTTATTTGTTTAGTGTAGGTTCAGCAATGAGGCAAGTGCAAATTTCTTTGCAGTGCATTCAGGAAATGCGGGAAAAGGTGTACCTCATGTGTTTGTCCCCCCCCCCCCCCCCCCTGTGATTTTACTGCACTTTTGTTACTAGCGAGGGATGCAGTGCATTTGTTAGCGGCACCCTTACCCTCGGTTTGTGGAGCTGACATACACACTTCGGGTTTTTTGCTTTCCTCCCCCTTTCCCAAAATTTTCGATCCCCTTCAAACACGGGTCATGCCCTCTTCCATCTCGTTCCCTCCTTGCCACCTTTGCAGTGTGGCCAGAAAGAATTCAAGGTCTTTCCCCGCAGAAAAGCGAAGTGGTTCGTCAGCCTTCACGTGTAAGACACAACTTTTCCACAAGCAACTTTTTTTTTTGTTAAATTATACATTGAAAAAGGACTGCAATGTGTGGCTCAAATTCTTGTGCACGGCCGTCTTTACACGCCTTTCGTCCTTACCATAGTCCTGGACGCGGCGAGAATGGCACGGCGTCTTTTTCAGACACCTGGCCTCCAGCATGCACCCATCTTTTGCCCTGCTTTGGCAGAGCACGTAGGCTCAAGGCTCGCAAGACGCCGAAACGTTGCCAAAGGTAGGAAGCTCTTGCTGGAGGTGAGACAAGAAGGAAACCCCTCCCCGCCATTCTCGGCCCATCTGCGACTAATCGCACGATTCTCCTAGCTCCTTTTTCCCGAATGAACCGACTTCATAGAAGCCATGGGCAATGTACGGGAGAGTGTTGCCATACTGTTAAGCGGCTTTGCCAGTTGCGACAGGATTTTGGGTCACTTTGGCAATGCTGAAGCGGCAGTAGGGATGGAGGATCATTGTCGCTGGTGAAAGCGCGTGCATTGTGTGCAGAGTATGCAGAAGTTGAAACGAAGGAATATAACATGCTGTACAGTGCAATCCACTTGTAACAATACCGCATATACAGGACTGTGCATTTTTGTGTAGGGTATCCAGTCCAGATGCAGTGATAATAGATTACACAGATAGCTTTTTTGGGTTTTCTTATTATCGTTATAAGTGGATTGCACTTCGTTAAAAAAGCATGGGCTCGGTCCTGCTCGTTAATGATTGTGTTGAAAGTCTTCAGAGAGTGGGATGCTTATTTGCCCAAGCGGCATTTCGTGCCTCAGCCATAGACAAACAATTTGGCCGGTGCCGTACGATTGCTAACCAGGTCTTTAATGTGCATCACAGTAGTGATAACACAGATGTGCGCCTGTTTGATGTTCGTCCACATCGTGACTGGCAAGAAACCCAGGGTCCCATAGTTCGGCAGCACGAGCTTTCGTTCCACGTGCTCCGAGCTGCAAAACAGTTCTACTATTATGGGACGTCTTGAAAACTTTTCGCGAATCTCGAAGCTCGGCTGCTTCGAAAAACCTTCAAACTTTTGGCAAATTTCGACCAAGTTTAACCTCTTGAGCAGCATTAGAGGGGCCCTGCAACGACTTTTTGACTGGTTTTTAGTTTGCACCGAACCCGAGTGCACTGAACGTAGTTATTTAGTAAAACTTTTCTTGAAATTTGCTTTATTTTTAAAAAGTCAGGCAAATTAAAATGACAAAAACAAGCAAAGAATAACCTCCTTCATAACATCCCTGGTCCTGGCTTGGGTGGCCAATGGCAATGCAACTGGCCAATCGGCTGCGGCTTTCGTTGATGGTCGCTTCTCCTGCAGACGCGTGCACGTTGACGGCTCGTAGCTTGCTTAGGCCCTCCACCGCGCTTGCCGGCATGAATTTACCAAATCTGTTGGAGTTGGAGCTCCAAATCCTCGATAGAAGTGCGGAGCAGGGAGTAGTACCCTACGAGGACACTCCTCATAAGTGTGCAGAGTGTGCTGGCAAAGTCTCCTAGCCCCAACTTAACGACGCTCAAGTTCAGGGCGGGTCTCCTGTGGCGCGAGACGACAGGAGACAAATTCATACTTTCGCTTCTTGCAAAATGCGCCGCCGGCGTCGTGCGTCGTCTGCTAAGATCCGCTGGGGCGCCTGCGTCGACCTGTGCTGCCTCTTCAACCGCTTGGTGGCAGGTTTGTCGACCGATTATCACGTGTTGGTTCTTGTTTCCGTACTTTCTAAACTGCATTTGTTTCTTTTCTCATTTAAGATGCTGAACAAAAACTACTTTCATACATAATTGAAACAGTTTGTGCCACTTTTATTTTGCATTTCGACTAAAAAATTTTTTTAGCGGCCCTGACCAGTCAAGGCAGGAGCTAACCGGGACCGACAACATCACGAATTCGTCACATGGCGTGCGTGTTCGGCACCACGGGGCGTTCTTGTAGGAGGAGGTAGTTAGTGTGTCATCCGGTTAAAATGACACGCCGATATTTAGTAACCCTCTCCGTGCCTGCTGGGTAGCCCGAACCCCGAGATGTGGAAACCGCAAAAAAGCTTGACGCTCGAATAGGATTGCAGGGCACCTTTAAGCAACTTCAAAACAAAAACTTAACAATTTGGGGGAAAAAAAAAAACACAAAAAACCCTAGTTTGTTAAAGATCTTGGGCAATAATAACCAATGATGGCACAACATAAAAGCAACCAGGCAAGCTTTTGATGGAAACAATGTACCCAATCTTGCGTCCTTAGCCATGTGGCATTGGCTTGTTTTCAACGTGTGCACATAAAAGTTGAATTTAAGACAAACTTCTGTCGAACTTGCCATTGAAAGTTCAAAAAGATTGTACCTGATCGACCTCAAATATGCGCAAGTTTGCGACATCCGTACCTTTATTGGGTTCCATCAGATTACAAAAAGAAAAGGTACGGCTGAAACAAAGCGTTTCATCTTCCTCGGCGGATGACTGTCCGCACCCTAAACCTGCATCTTCTCCGCCTGGTACTTGTAGTGCAGGTCCATGCAGTCTTCCTCCGAGATGCACTCCCAGCCGGCTTCCGTCACGCGGTACACCCTCACGATTCCGCCGCTGGCCGAATCCCTGAACGTCGCGTGGTAGATGGCCTTGCGGGCGAGCTCGAAGGCCTCTCCGTCCTCCATGTCGAACTTGTAGCCGTTGTCGAGGACGCCGAATGCGTATGTCGATCCCGAACCGGACGAGAACATGCTACCCGAGAGACGGTTTCCCTCGTTGTCGACGTAGTACAGGCCGGGTCCCCGCTTGTCCCAGCCGGAGATCATGACTCCCAGGGACAGCCCCATGCCCTTGTAGTTGTACAGGATGTTGGCGAGTAACTTGGACGCAGCCGCCACCGAGATCCTCTCTCGGTTCCGCAGCTCGTAGATGCGGCAGCGTTCGGACAGCACCCGCTGCCAGTAGACGCAGTCCGCGGCGCCTCCGGCCATGGTGCCCAGGAGGTACTTGTTGATCACGATGATCTTCTTGACGCTCTGCGAGCCGATGTACTCACCCCCGGTGGCTCGAGAGTCGGCTGCGACGACGACCCCTCCCTTGTACTTGAAACAGAGCGTGGTGGTGCCTTTGTCGTAGTGGATCTTGATCTGTTTCCCAGAGTCGTCTTTCATCAGCGCCGGCATAGACTCGTTCGGCTGCGAGAAAAATGGCGAGTAAGCAACAGCTTGAAACAACTGAAGCCACGCCATCCGTGGCTTTCACGCGATGTCGTTGCACAATGCTGGTGGTAATCCCTACTTGTTCTCGCTGAGTAAGACAGATTCGGTGGGTCAAAACGCGCTCATCGCAAGCATTGGAGACGCCGCAACCAAGAACAACACTGCGGTCGGCTTTCCAGGATTGGTCAAACGCTTGGTGTGACATCTTGAGTGAGAATAATTCTGCTTTCATCGACAGAAATAAGAGTAATGTCAGATTTAATGTCAACGGTTGTTGGCTTAAGAGTGCGATGACACGAAGCTATGGTGTTTACACAAAGCATCAAACTTGTTGTTCACGATGATGATTAGGAGTTTCCTGGCGCAGGAGAAACGAGGGCTATAATGAGACGAGCTAAACGCATTTGGAGTCAAACTAGTCGTTCACAACTGATGGTAGGTAGTTGCGGTCACAACTCGTGATGTCACAGCGAGACAAACCGTCTCGTCCCGATGCCTGGCGTCCAGCAGGCGCTCGTCTCCTTTCGCAGTATTTTAAGTGCGCGTGCTCGCTTCAAGGCTTTCGAAATGCCGAAGCGTTGTCCAAAGAAGGCAGCCAGCGCTGGGGACAGGACAGCTCAAGGTACACCAAGCCCGTTCTATAGTCCTACCGGCAACTACAGCGAGAAGCGCGCAAGGACTGCAGAGTCACTCACGTCGGCGAACGGCGGCTGAGCAAGCTGCGTGTGACAGCGTAAGTTCGAACCGAAGGCATCGTCGAAACGCTGCAAATCCTGATCATCTTGAGATGCCTTGCCGAAGCCTGAGCGAAGATTCAACTGCAGAATACTTTCGAGCGCCATGATACGACAGAAATGATTCCTGGACTGACTGACCGGCTACCAATCTGTCTTGGATCCACGTGTTTGGATTTCTAACAAACTTGCTGACGAAAATTAATAAAAGTAAAAACTAAACCCATAATATTGGTAAAAATATCAGAGATATGTGTGAGTAAACATAAAAATTGTAATATATAATAATTAAATGCAAAAAGCGAAAGGTAGCTTGGACATAATTGCTCTAGAAGGCACAGAGGCTAGAAGGCTAACGAGCTCAACTAAAAAGTTAAAAAAAGTTTGCTCAAATGAAAAGCATAATTATTCATCTTTTAAATACTTTTCGTTTTAAATTAAAAGCTCATTATTTTAGTTTATTGTAAAGGTTACGAAACCTCTTATAAACAAAGGCTCATATCCACAGCCTCATGTGGTCGTCGCCCGACAGCAGCTTGATCAATTTGTCCAATCGGCCCTAAGCCCTATTTCTCAAAATTTAGTCCTTCTGTAATTACGGTGACGTTATCATGACACTTGGAGCAGACACAGCCATCTCGCAGCATCACAGAACATTGGGCAAGGACACGATCGCGCTGTTCGAGAGTTGCAGAAAGGGCGATCTCTCCAAAATCAGGTATACGGTTTCGTTTTCGCGCCCGCCTCTCAAGAGCGCTGTGCAATGCTACGGGAGTGGCTCCTCAAAGGCAGTGCCTATTCTCCCGGCAGCCGGGAAAATAATTTCCCGAAATTCTACCGGCATTCGCCTTCCGTTGGCTGTCTGAAATCATGTGAGAACTGCCGGTAGAATACTGTCTTTCTTAATCTCACGGTCTTTCGTGAAAACACTTTTTATGGACGACGTTTCATGAACGCGTTCGCTAAAACGTCATTCGCCGTTTCGCAGCGAATGACGTTTTAGAAAACAGCGACGTTTTAAGGGGGGCGAGTGTCCCCTCCTCCCGTTCTCTTCCCCACTCCCCAAAACACCTCTTCATCCACCGTGACCTCGTGAAAAAAAGTAATGTGTTTCTCGCAGGAATGAACTTACGTAAGCCAAGCATTATCTAGATTGCTACTCTTTGCATACCATCAACACGCAGTTATCAGTTATCAACATATGTGTTTGTCTAGAGAAGCTGGTGGGCACTGCACATGCGCACGAACCCATTTTTAAGATTGAAGCGTCTGCGCGTGCTCAATTCTCCAGCCAGCGCCATCTGTCAGCATGACGCCAGAGACGGGAGTCGCACATGCTAACCGAGGACTCTTGTCTCTATCGCCAGGCATCTAGTCGAAGAACGAGAAATCGAGCTGAACATAAGGGACAGATGGGATGGCACGCCACTGTACGTACTTGCCCCATAATTCTGCATTGCTATAGCTTTAATCTCGTATTCACAATTTTATCTATGAATTTTTTTTTTTCAGATATTATGCTTGTCTATGTGGTCACAAGGAGGTTGTGGAGTATTTGCTAGATAATGGTAAGCATGTTATTGGTAAGGCTCCTGTGTTCTTTGACAGTCCTTTTCGCACGAAGCACGACATGTAGTTAACACATGATTGCTATTTTGTGATTCTTATAAGCTGGGCAGAAAAATTCGGTATCTATAATTTCGCGTGCGAAAAAAGCCTGCAATACTTTCTTTTAATACGCCATAAATCATACAAATATCAATTATAGTTGATATAAACGGGCATTTTTATTTTTTCTCTCACTGCTGCGTTGTTGAATTGTACAGGGTGATGGGCCTAGTCAGGCGACTGGATAGCCGATGACAGGTTAATATCCGCGTCTTCAGCAGATGATCGGCCTTCAGCACGTGCTCGTTGCCTTCTGTTGGGCTTCGGCGCTGCACGTGCAACGAATCTTTATCAAAAGCGGAATGTTTGCGCGCGAGGCAGAGCATGGTTGTTAACCTGTCCCCAACCATAGTCGCCTTTTACCCCATCCTCCTAAACGTAGTTTGTCCGAATAAAACACTTCCTTTTTTTAAAGCTCTAAGTTCTGATTTTTCGGAAATGAATCATTATGTATAATCCCACGGTGTTGCACGAATCGGGTCAATTCCAAGTACGAAACGTTGTCGGCACTCCTCAGCATACACCCAAAGTGCAACCCGCCCCGTGTGACGCACGCAGGGGCCCGCTGCGTGGCCAACACCTTTGACGGAGAGCGCTGCCTCTACGCCAGCCTGAACGTGGGGATTCGGAACCTACTCAGGGACCACAAAGTGGTCACCTCCAACACCATGCGCCGAGATGGCTATGACCAGTTCCTTCGGAGGTGAAAATAATCTTCTTGCGTGCTTCGTGCGTTTTTGCTGCCTCTTCTCGAAACCTCAAAGAGACTGTTTCCGAGCTTTTCTATAGTCGCTTACAGATTGAGAACGACAGGGCCTGTCTCTTGAGTGCCTAACCTCCGGTTGTGCTCCGTATTTTCCTTCGTGCTTTTGCTGCGCATGCAGACTCGAAATGCACGAGATGTTGAAGCGTTGTGGAAGATCGCACTGGTGGTGGAGCAACTGAAGCTTCTCCCTGTCGTTCTCACCTTGTGAGTAACTATAAAGCAGCATGTGCAGCTGCCTTCCGAGCTTTGTTTAGACTAAGCGTAATGCAGGGGTCAACGTGTCATTTGGAGCAGTTAGCAACTTGATTCCTTCTTTAGACTGCTGTTTAGATGAGGTATTGGGTAAAATGACCCAGTTGTACTTAAAGTAATTCACGTAAGTGCAGTGTGCTTTGAGGCTAAAGTTGGGTGTACCTTTTTTCGACACAATATTTCAGTAACCACTCATATTTCTACCAATATCTCCAACTCGATGAAATGAGAAGGTAAATCTCCTGGCAAAAAAACAAACGCTAAAAGCAAATTCAGATTTCACTCGGGAGGCAGAGGAAACACCTGGAGACATTAAAGTGGCAGCTAGCATATTGCTAAAAATTTCCTTCCTGGTGGCTTCACCTTCCTTCGTGATTTCTTTCAAAAGTTGAACAGAGGTCTGTAAAGATCGACCAAGTTGTTTCGTGAGTAGTAACATCAATCGTTTATTGCAGTCTCGAGCATAAGAAACATGCTCAGTAGGCAACCCTGGGACTCCCTTTAAAGGTTAGCGGCCACAAAAGCTTTAGTGACGGTTTTCACTCCAAAAATAAATAATGCATCGCCGAATGCTCAGTATTCGCCCACGTGTAGCTCTAACAATGTAGACTAGATGTCAAAGTTTCAGAGCTTGCCGTTATCCAATCCAAAAGTTGCAAGCGATTTTCGGAAATTTTCAGCTAGAAAATGGAGGCCGACAAGCCCATGAATGCATGAAGATCGGTCGTGTCAAATACCAGGAAAAAAAAAACATCTTCTTTTTGAAAACTTAAAAAAATATTGCTTACAACTTTTAAATTTGATAACGGCAAGCTCTGAAACTTTGGCATCTTGGTCCAGACTGCTAGCGCTACACTTGGACGGGTACTGACCATTTGGCAATGTGTAGTTTATTTTTGTGGTAAACAAAAGATATACTAAATATTTTTTCAAGGTAGCAAGTACATACCAGGAAAGTTCACTCAAAAACATTCTTCAGAAATGTGATTGGAGTATAGACACAGGCGCTTGAAATGTACCTGAAGTATAGTCGACTTTCATTAATTCAAACTCTCTTAATTCAAACTTGTGGATAATTCAAACTAACATGCAGGTCCCATGCTATGCGTCTCTATGGGAGGAAACTCCTGATAAATAAAAAAAACTCCTGAAACTCCAAACAAATTTTCACTTCCGCTTCCCCAAGTTTGAATTAACGAGATTTGACTTTACAGCTGTGCCCTGTTGCAAGTTATGAAAAACAGAACAAACTCCTCCTGCAAAGCCCTTTCCACTTTAGCAGAGTGAATGCCGGAGAGGAGGCGAATGGACTTGCCTCCTCTCTCACTTCCTCTCCAGCATTTGTTCTGCAAAAGTGGGAAGAGTGGAGGGCTTTGCAGGAGGATCTTGTCCTGCTTTTCTCAACCTGTAACAGGGTGTAGTGACTACAATGCACGCTGGCACCCAACTCAGGTGCTTGGACGACAGACAACACTGCGACATCACCTTCCGCGTGGGGGGAGAGGAAGTGCGGGCGCACCGTTGCATCCTGGCAGCCCGTTCCGAGTTCTTCCGCGACGCCTTCCAGACAAAGTGGAGAGGCCACAACGTCGTTCCTGTCACACACCACCTGGTGAGGAACCTGTCTCTTCTCCGATGAATTAAAGTTAAATTTGTTTTGTCTGTATGTGCATACACTTGGGGTGTTGTGCAAATATTCGAATAGTTTCAAATAACAAGCTATTCGATATTCGCATCGAAATGAACTGCAAATACTTTTCAAAGTGTTGATCACGGCGAGTGAGCCCCGTTGAGTGTGCTTCTCACCGAGCACTTGCGCACTGCAGGAAAGCAATAGCTGCAGAGCTCGCGGGCTCCGCGAGTATTGCTTCCCCACAGTGCACAGGCGCTCGGTGAGAAGCGCACTCAACGGGGCTAACCCACAGCAATTATGCAGAAATGTATGTTATGCAGGTATGCCTTGACAACCTGCATTCATCATTCATGCTTACTTCAACAATCCATCCTGTGCATATTTTGTCAGTAAATATTTTTTAGGCCCGTAGACGCATCAGTTCTTTTTTGGGGGATGTGCCCGAAATACCGACTTTGTGCAATCCGCAGAAAGTGCTTCAAACTGGGTGTATGCTGCTAAATATTTTCCATGCAAATAAAGTCGGTTTTGTTTTAATAGACATTGAGCCGGCCAAAAATTTTTTTTTTGCCAATATTTTAAATTATTATTGGACATGGTTGGCCAAAGTGATCTGAAAATACCCTTTAGAACAAGACCATACTAGTATAACAGTGTCCGGAATTTGTCCTACCATTACATTTGAGAAAAATACCTAACCACAGTGAACTGAAAGCCCGTTTGGTGTTGTGCTAGTGTGGTTTTCAGGACGAGTTTTGTTTCTTGGTTTATGACAGTGGCAGCAATGTCTTTTCAGGTGGATGCCTCAGTCTTTCGAATCATGCTGCAGTACTTGTATACAGGTAACGTATGTTTTCTCTTCTTATGAGGCTTTCCTTCTCAAGCTTTTTGTTCCTTATTACTACTATTAGTAGAAAACAGGTTCTGGACATGCATTGGAGTTTACGGTCTCAAGATAACTCTGGAGTGCCTGAAAAATATGTCTTGGGTAATTCATTTCTTATTTGGATTTATCTCCCCCACTAAAAATATTTTGGCCAGTTAGAATGGGCAAAGCGAGCAGTGTGAAACGTCCGTTTTGCTTCATTGTGGTATCAACCATTCATGCGAATTGCATGGAGCCGCCTCTACCCGAACTAGTGTCCGAGGAAATCGGGAACATGCTTGTAGCCCTAGTTGCAGAATTACAATATGAACCCACAAAAAATGACATACAAAGTCATGGCTGGTTGAACCAGTGCAGGATTGAAATGTGCTTTCCTTTTGCAAGGCTAAACGGGCAGCTTTTTTTTAACTACTTACCTGCTTTCTACTTTTTCGCATGGCACAGGAGAAGGCCTGTCGTTGCGATTGCGCGAAGGAGACTAGCGAATGAGGAGGCGCGGACAGTACTTGGGCAGATCTGTAGATCGCACTACGTTACTGCTCTGAATTCACATTCTTCGGCTTCCTTTGTAGGACGGTTGACTTGTTTAGAAATACAAGCTGTCCCAAAGTGAAATCTACCGAGATTTATTTACCGTATAAATAAACTTTGCATTGGCATATGCTCATTCTTCACCCTAACATAGCAGCAGAGACTGAACGTCTGGCAATGCGTCATTTATTTTTTCTGATAAAAAAACGGTGTGAATTTATTCTTTTTGAGACATGCCGTAGATATGCATAGTAGTTGCTTGCTTCCATCTCCCCGCAGTCTAACTGTATGCACACACTCTTTTCTCAGGCCGACTCGAGATGCAAGCAAGACAGTCCGACAGCCTTATAGAGCTGGCCAAGCGTTGCAGGCTGACGTCCCTCGTAGAGCAGCTCCACGATCTACTGGCGTCAAGTTCCTCGCGCAGTCAGTATTAAGCTTTCTCCTCTTCACATTCCCCACATTGTCTCGAACAAAGGCCGACACTAGAGCTGCTAAATGAGCCACGGTTAGGAGTAACGACACGAGCTTCGGCCATTTTGCTACTTACAATCATTGTTGCCAGTTATCTGAAGTTCCTTACCAGGGGTCTCGAACTCATTTGAGCTTGGGGCCGAGCCCACCCCCAAAATGTTGAGGGGCAGCACACGCTTGGGGGGAGGAGTTGTATATATTAGGACAAGAAAAAAAAAACAGCGAAAAGCAGCTGAGTCTTTCAGCGACACTGAGAGATATCCTAAAGAAATAAGATATTGGGCTATTTGCTTTTTGTAAAATAGCCGTTTTGCCAGTGCCGTCTTTAGCTTTGATGTATCATACAGCTACTTCGGGTTTGTACCTGGTGTGATTACAAAATCTAAAATGCCACCATCTGGCCAATGTGCTGGAATTTTCATTACAACTAGAAACCAAGCACACATTCATTGCTACGTGGCTCAATTCACTAGGGAAGTATCCGATTTCTATATGTTTCAAAAGAAGTTCTTTTCGTACGATAATTTTTTCTTTACTGATGATTTTTAGAGCAGAATTACAAGAAAATACTTGTGGCTGAACGGTATGTAAGAAGAAGCAGTCCGATGTGAACGATAACAGGTATTAGTGCCAAATATGTTAAAATGTCACGAGAGCCGAGCTTCCAGTGTAAATGAATGAACAACACAAGGTCATTATTTTGTGGCGCATGCAGCACTCGAGGCATATAGGAACGGGAGCTCGCAGCCACAAGACACCTGCGCGCCGCATCCCAGTGTGTCGCGTGCTGTGTGTTTGAGACCCCTGTTCTATACCACATCTGAAATCGCAGGAAATGCTTTTTCGTACTCCAGACACGTTAAAATTTGCGACGAAGCAAAACAATATTGCCCGAGCCTTCTGACACCATATGGAAGTTTGAAAAATTGCTTTTTTTCTTTCATTGCTACGACCTCCAGTTGTACCCGCTGCTCTGCACTAGGCGCAAATATGGTGCCACCCGCAACAAAAGCCTGGAAACGGGGTGCCGAAGCGTAGCTCACTTATAGTAGCTCTAGCCAACGCAGAGCCAGATGTAGGGTGGACCGGTTTTCCCGTCGGCTACGAATCGGCGTGACTTGGGACGCAGGGAAAGCCTGGAACGAGTTCAAGACATTGCTGCTGGAGCCGTCCCAGTACGCGCAGGAGGTGCAGCGGGACTTGAGTCGCCTGGCCGAGCAGACGCTGCCAGCGGGGGACCGCGAGGCAAGTCGTCGTTGCCTTTGCATTCTCGCTTCAGGCTACGTAGTATTTGTTTATTGCAGTGTGATGCCTGGAATGTGTCTCTAACAGTTGTTTTTACCGCATCATAAAAAAGCGGTCCCTCGATTTACGCCTCGTGACGTCCTAGAGGCGTCATGTCGTCGCTGGCCACGATCCAGACGGTGTCGCAGCATCGGTGGTGCGTGTAGCAGACGCCCTTCTGCTGCAGGTTGCTCTCAAGCTCGACAGTATGTGGAAGCTTTGGCAGCCGGGAGTTGGGACGCCGCGACGATGGCGACGCTCGCATTCTCGCATGCTTTATTCCACAACTTTTACGCCCAACCGCCACGATTGCGACATCTGACGGCATGACGCTATGTCTTTTGTGACATTGTTTGTTTTCATTTTGGGACCACTTTTGACGCATGGGCAGAATAGGACACGAAACGCACCGGTCGGTGGCATGTTTTAGGCACCATAATTACGGTACTTGAAATCTTTCTTGGAGAAAGTCTGCCAAGGCAAGAGCCTTATAGCGGAAGCTGTCGACAACCTGCGTTCGTTTGCCCAGGTCTCGGCAGACGAGCGTTTGACAGGGGATGCCGGTTACGCCGACGTGTGCTTCAACGTGCATGGCTGTTACTACTTCTGTCACAAGGTAGAAATCCGGATGGATTATTTCTTCTCAAAAACCACTAGTGGTACCAATTCTTCTCGGCACTTAGCTGGGGCTGTACATTTCGAGGGAATTACCTCCAGTAAATAATACAGGTCTATTTTGCTTTTTTTTTTTGTGATTGTTGAGAGTGGGAGTGGGCAACAAGGAATTGACGTAGCTCTGAAGAGCATCACACATGCAGTAACTCTCGTTGCGCAGGTGTTGTTCTGTAACCGTAGCGACTACTTCCGCGCCCTGATTGAAGACCCCTTCACGGAGGCCCTAAGTACGGGAACCAGTAGGGCCGTGCCTGTGATCTCCCTAAATCACGTCACGCCAGAAGTCTTTAAGTGCGTCGTGCAGCACGTCTACGGGAACACTGCCACGGCGGTGAGTGCATGGCCTTCTATTTTCTCGGTGCATAGCTTCATGAATCATTAAGGTAGCAATTTGGGCCAGTTGCTTCATGATCGCCTAAAAAAGCACCAGAAACACACAAGGACAAGGAAGTAGACAGACAAGAGCGCTCTTGTCTGTCTACTTCCTTGTCCTTGTGTTCTTTTTGGCGTTTTTTTGGGTCTTCATGAATCATTTTGTTTGCAATAGCCAATATACAGTCGGCTCGCGATAATTCAAACTCGGATATATCATATTTCTGATTAATTCAAACAAATTTCAAGATTTTGGTTGTCCCACTATGTACCTAATGTATTCATAAGCCCCTTAATTCGAACGGCGTTTTCGCGCAATTCATACTTTTTGTTCTCTCGGCCCCGTAGAGTGCGCTTCTTTCCGAGCACCGATGCACTGCAGAGAGGCAACAGCTATGGAGCTTGCATCCGCGGGTGTTGCTTCTCCGCAATGCACCGGTGCTCGGTGATAAGCGCACTCAACGGGGCTCAAGTGGGCACATGTGAGCTGTGAAAACTGACACCACGCAAAAATGTTCATAGCACATAGCAACTTGCACGGACCCTGTGACGTGGCGGCATGGCATAGGTCCACGTCCCAGCGTCTGTGCAAGTTGCTATGAAAACTGCAGCGTGGTGCCCATTTTCATCACTCATGTGTCCCCTGCTATATAGTCCACATTAGTCAACTTCTTGGCCCGATGAACAAACTTAATTTTGGTTTTGAGTTGTCATGGGCTCTCTAAACAGTCCATGATAAACAACATTTTTCAGAGACAAATAAACTTATGTCATACATTTCACAGATGTTTCATGTGTTGCATACCTACTTATTATCAGTAGGCATATGTAGAGTAAAGCATCAAATATGTTTTTTGTATATGTAGCCATTCATATGACAAATCATAATTTTATCTTGCATCATATTTAAATGAATTTCTGGTAATTCAAACAAAATTTGTGGCTTTCTGAATTTTGAATTATGTGAGTTTACTGTATTTCATCTCATACTCAATGTACAATGCTGTCAAGTTGCTGGTCATCCATCGTCCAGCATCTCACTTGTGTGATAGCAGGTGCAAATGGACCTCTAGATCAAGCCACACACGTGCCAGCAGCTTTGACATTGTATACTAAGTATGAAATGGGCTATGGATTGCTCGGAGAAGACAATTTCTAGAGGCATCTGGTACTGGGTATGCTCCACACAGCACTGGAGGGAGCTCCAGATAAATGAATGAGCGGCAGAACCCTTTCAATCAGGTGGCACCTTGCGCCACCTAGACAGTATTTTTATACCTATACCCACAGTGTAAGGTACTCTTTAGGTGAAAACGCACAGCACGGCAAACGCTGCAGCATGATTAGTCAGAGAAAGTCCTGTCGGCACGTGCTCGAGTGGCCTATGCCGATAGCATCTTTGCTGGTGAGGCGGTGCAACTGAGGAAGAAAAAAAGAACTTACACCGTGCCTCTCCCTTATCTACAAAACATTAACAGAAGGTAGTGCCACCTGTATTGGTCCGCAGCTGGAGCCAGAGAATGCGTGGGAGGTGGCATGTGTGGCAGACGTGTACCTGCTGCCGGAACTGAGGCGCCAGTGTGGCCAGCTGATTGGCGAATGCCTGGACGAAGCCGGGGCCTGTTCCGCGCTCAGAGTGGCCAGGCTGCTGCGGCTGCACAGGCTGGAAGAGCAGTGTATCGACTTCATGGCCAGGCACCTTGCACAGGTGGGCAGGGTTTTCATTTCGGAAGTTCACCTAAAAAAACTGCCGGTCCCTCGCCGCATCCTGCGAATGAACTCGGGTGCTGCACACAGGCTACACACAGTCATTCTCCAGAGCATGGGTTCTCAAACTGGGTTCCCCAGAGCATTCTCGAGGGTTCCCCCGATCTTCCAAATTTTCTTGGCTGTCCCCGACTCTCAGCAAAGGGATTTTCCAGTTTGAGCACTAGCCACCCATTGATGCATAACTACGAGCAAAACACCCCCTGGTATGTGCTTGACTGTTTGCGAGGTCACCTCTGCACTGCTTCATTGCATCAACGCTAAGACCGGGAGAGGTTCCTCAGCTGCCTTTCACGACAGTTGTAGGGGTTCCTTGAGGTTGAAGAGCTTGAGAACCTCTGCGTCACAGTGTAGCGTGACACTGTGATTTCCCACCAAATTTGCCCTGCCACACTGTACACACACTGGGACCTGCCACGAAACCTCGCTAGTAGCGACTGTCGCCGTAAAATTAATGTTATTGTGGTTACTTTTCTGCTGATGCTGAGGTAGGGTCGCCACCTGCCCAGTTTTCAACTGGCACGGCCGTTTCTTTTTGGATAGCAGGCCTGTTACCGCTCTGTGTCTAAAACCATCCATCATTTGCTGTTTCTTTTTTCGACTGCCCAAGTGATTTTTTATTATCTTAAAATTATAAACATATTTTATACTGTCAACGAAACAAATGGCACGAAAAATGCCTGTCATTGTTTTCTCTTTTTTACATGAACTACGCAAAAATTTGGTGAGGACTTTGAAGTAGAGAAATTATGTGGGCCAGGTTGCTTGACAAACGGCTGCATCGTTCAAAATCTCATAGGTGTGGTGGCAAGCGGACAAATGAGGAAAAAAAAATGGGAGGAAGCAGGAAGTCGGCGCTTTCGGAGACACGGGAGAACACGCGACTACTACACTAAGGCTGTTCTGCCCTCCTGGTAGTTGTCGGCGTGTGCCTTCTGGGAGGTGAATGGTTTTACGACTTTTAACCATTATCGGCATTTTGACAGAAATACATGGTGGTACTATCCCCTGTCTAGAAGGCGGGCGGCCGCGGCGTTTCCACTTGCTCTTCTTTTCAGTCACACGCGTCCACATGAGGTGTAAAATAAAAAAAAAATGGACTGGCTTTATCGTTTTTACACTTCATTGTTTTTATTTTTTCATCTGGCACTTTCTGGGGTCTTTGCCCGAACATGAGGATATGCTGAAACATATATAGTAGTAATTGTTTGAGTGGCCCCTCAAAAGCCAAAACCTTTGCCAGCTGTCTCCAGGAAAGGGTGACATCTGTATTGAAATTGCAGCCTCCATGTGTCTCAAAGTGACAGGAGCAGCACGGAATAGCAACAACTTGTTGAATGTTTGAATACTTACTCATTGTTTGTATCAGGATGCTGTACCAGTGTGGAAATCTCAGAACATCAAAAGCCAAGAATAAAAGGGAAGCGACATGGAGATTGGCGCTGTTCGTCAATAAATGTCTGAGCTGCTGTCTTGTCTCTGTTCTACATTTCGCTTCTCTTCCATCCCAGTAAGTTACCAGCGAGTTATCCCAGTAAGTTATCAGCACTCCGAGTCGTCGAAACTCGTTGGACTGTGCTGTTGTGTTCAAGCTTGCTTTTCAAATGACTGCCCTAGAAACGTACTGGAACGTGCCTTCCATCTATCCTAAGTATAAATAATTACAAATGTCAAGCAAAGCTGCGCATTCTGCAGAATGACAACACGTTTTTAATGGGTGCGATCCCCTCATCCCTCTCTTGCTTAGCGACATAACGTGGAAAAGGAAGAGGGTGTCCCGGAAGCCGCCTTTTGTAGAATGTTTTTTTTTGTTGGAGAAAGGATTTGAGGGACAGAACCATGCACAGTAATACGACTGGCTTGCGATGGGCATTCTTGACGTAAATTACCGAAACTTGAACACTATTTGGAAGGCCCGTACGTCAAACTAAATTTAATGTGAAAGACTGTCAACACTGCATCTTTCCTCTTACCAGTTGAATCTCGCATAAGCACTCCCTCCTGGCGAATTTTTCTTTGACGAAAACTGGCAACCCTGTGCTGGAGCCACTTAATGTCCCAGAGTCTCCGAAACTTCATTTCAGCTAGAAGCTCGGCACAGCCCTGTGCGATCGGGGCATGCAGAGTCTGCTCCGCGAATCGGCCCATCTCTCGACGCACATGCGCGTGAACTGCCCGCACCAGTGTTTACAAAGTCGCCTCAACGTTTTTTCCTTGCGAAACGGTTGTAAGCGCACTAAGACATTGTTGCATACTAGGCGGAGAATAGAAGTGCTGATGTATAGTACATTGCAGGTTCAGAATAGTGGAAAGAAGCTCCTCCCACAAACTCCTTCATCCTTTCTGTGGTATGAAATGACCTGCCACCTACCGAGCAGCACACCTACCTGCTGGTGGTAGACGACGAGAATAAAGATTCTTATACGTGGCACTCTGGCGTGCGGTAGCATCTCGTTCTTTCTCCGCCAACCTAACATGGTGTCAGAAGTGGGATCACGGCCGGAAATCAAGAACCGCTACCAGCACTGACTTACGAGGCACCCAAGGAAGCGATCCTCCGCTGGAAGAAATGGCAACAACCGCAGCGGGCACATCGTTCGTGATACAGCCGCCGGAGCCATTTTCTTTCTCGTCTCCGAATGAATGGCCGAAATGGAAGAAGCGCTTCCAACGGTTCCATACTGCTTCGAGACTCAGCGCAAAGCCTGAAGAACACCAAATTGACGCTCTCCTTTACATTATGGGGGACCAAGCTGAGGACATCTTCAGCACATTCCAGCTAACCAAAGCAGAAGCCAAGAAGTTCGATACCATCATGGGCCACTTCAACACGTATTTCATACCGCAAAGAAACGTCATCTTTGAGCGAGCTCGATTCAACTTCCGGGTCCAACAAGAATGCGAGTCCATCGAAGAGTTTGCTACGTCACTGCACGCCTTTTCCAAGTACCGTATTTATTCGAATATAGGTCGACCTTTTTTTTTCCGGAAATGTTGTCAAAAATTAAGGGTCGACCTATAATCGTGACCAAAGAATTTCGACCTAATTCGCGACCAAAATTTGAAACCCTACCGAGGGTATGGAGCTATCAATCACCCAGCCGGCGTCGCGGTAGAGCCGCGCGGCTTCTTGTTTCAAAAAGCTTTTGATGCACGAAAACAACCGAACAGCAGCAGCCGACAGCCCGCGGCCGCCGGCTACGGCTCTCGCACACATTACTCGGGCGTCGGGTTTCGCCATCACGCCTGTAGCATTCCCCTCGCTGGGCAGGGGGGAAGGGGAGGGAGAGGAACGCGATGCGCCATGCACTTTGCCCTCCTATGCGCTCCATTCCTCTCTTTCGCAAACGCGCGCAAAAAAAAAAAAAAAAAAAAAAAAAAAAAAAAACGCGGAGGTATTTTAGTTGTTTTTTTGTTTTTTTTCGGCGTGTCGCGTGTTGCTCACGGGGCTCGCAGCGTTGCTCGTGTCTTTGTATTTGGTCTTTCGTCGCTCGCCCGTCTCCACCTTCTTTCGTTTCTTCTCGTCGTCATTTTACAACGGTGTCAGTGAGGTATTGTTGCCAATTTGCGAGGATGTCTACCAAGCTGACGAACCTTTGGACCCTTTGGACGATATATCCGGAAGTTCTGACGATGAATAAGTTTCTGACATCGCCCTGTGATTTAGCTGAGAGTGCGGTAAATAAAGGTTTGTTTCTTTTGCCCTAACTTTCCCCTGTTCCTTAAAAAAAAAAAAAATGAAAGGTCGACCTATATTTGAATTATTTTTTTTTATTCTCGGTGGGCTCAATAAATAGGGGTCGACCTATTTTCGTGGTCGACCTATTTTCGGGTAAATACGGTACTGCGACTACGGCCCAATGCAAGACCAGTTCGTACGAGATTGGCTAGTCGTTGGCATCCGTGACAAAAAGCTCTCCGCAAAACTCCAGCTCGACGCCGACTTAACACTTCAGAAGGCCCTAGAGTCAGCGAGGCAAGTTGAAAACGTCTGTCAGCAGCAAGTCGAGCTGAACCAAGACATCAAAGCCGGCAGCAGCGTCAACAAGCTTGACATAAGGAGAACTTCAACTAGCCGCTTCTCTGGGTTTAGCACCGAATCACCAGGCAGACTAGAACACAAAGAGTCTGGTTCGTCCAAGACGAACAGCCAAAAATGTCCTTGGTGTGGACGAGCACGTCATCCCAGAAAGTCCTGCCCAGCTCGACACGAGACTTGTAAGAGTTGCCATAAAAAAGGTCATTTCTCCGGAGTCTGCCTTTCCAAGAAAGTCCGCTTCGTTGGACCATCTCAAGACAAGGATGACAAGGTTGGCTTTATTGGAGGAGTGGCACATCCTCAAGCTGACAAGTGGGAAGTGACGGTGATGCTTCAAGGGGAAACTGTAAAGTTTAAATTGGACACGGGCGCCGACGAAACAGTCATCACGCCCTCCATCTTCCGGAAGCTCTCCCCACGACCGCGCCTGGTAGCACCACCTCGTCAGCTTCACGGACCGAACGGAACCCTTTTGGCAACACAGGGGGCAGCTCGCCTCAACATTACGTACAGAGGCCGCACTTCGGTGCAAGACGTTTACATCTTAAAAGACCTCCGTACGCCATTACTAGGAAAGCCTGCTATACAAGCTTTGCAATTGGTATCGGTGGTCAACGAGATCAGCACAAGCTCCAATATTCTTGACGGATCTAAAGTCGACGCAACAACAGAGTTCCCTGCGCTCTTCAAAGGGCAAGCTCCCTGAAGCATACCACGTGCAACTCCAAGACGGCGCCAAACCGTTTGCACTAAGTTCTCCACGGCGAGTGCCGATCCCACTCTTCGAAAAGACGAAAGCAGAGCTTCAAAGAATGGAGAGGATGGGAGTAATATCACCCGTCGAAGAGCCAGCTCCTTGGTGTGCGCCGATGGTAGTTGTTCCAAAGCCAAGCGGTGCAGTGAGAATATGCGTTGATTTCACTGAACTCAATCGCTACGTACTCGGAGAATGGCACCCTATACCGTCCGTCGAACACACCTTGGGACTCCTTCAGAATGCAAAGTACTTCTCAAAACTCGATGCAAACTCCGGTTTTTGGCAAATTCTACTAAGCGGAGATAGCAAGCAGCTCACGACTTTCATTTCGCCGTTTGGACGGTTTTGCTTCAACCGGCTCCTTTTCAGAATTTCTTCAGCTCCGGAGCACTTCCAGAAACAGCTCTCGAGCATCCTACAGGGAGCAAGTGGTGTCGTATGCTATATGGATGACATTCTCATCTGGGGCTCCACTCCCGCAGAGCATAACACCAGACTCCGCACCGTTTTGCAGCGACTCTGCAACGCAGGTCTAACGCTCAACGAGGACAAATGCTCCTTCAACGTCCAAGAATTAACATTCCTGGGCCACAAAATCAACGAGGATGGCATCCGTCCAGACGATTCCAAGGTTGAAGCCGTCAAGGCCATGGACCCGCCTACCTCTAAGCCAGAGCTGCAGAGGGTGCTGGGAATGGCAACGTACCTGGCTAGATTTGTTCCGAACCTAGCAACCGTCTTTCAACCACTCGGCTCTACGCTTAGCACTAAGCAAGAGTTTGTTTGGGGATCCGTTCAACAAGACGCGTTTGACAAGTGGAAGGCGATTTTATCGTCACATCCAGTCCTTGGAGTCTACGACCCTAGAAAAGAGACTGTAGTGACGGCCGATGCGTCTTCTTACGGAGTCGGCACCGTATTGAGACAAAAGCAAGAGGGAAACAAATATAAAGTCATCGCGTACGCTTCCAGACTGCTGAGCGACACCGAAAAAAGGTACACTCAAATTGAAAAAGAAGGTCTAGCGCTCGTCTGGGCTTCTGAGAAGTTCAGCGATTACCTAGTCGGCAAGTTCTTCAGCCTCGAGACTGACCACAAGCCTCTGGTGCCGCTTTTCTCAAGCAAGGCTCTAGACGACCTCACTCCGAGACTGCAGCGTTTGCGCATGCGTATGATGAGGTACAACTACAACATCACATACGTACCAGGAAAAGAACTCCTCGCCGCAGGCACGCTATCAAGGGTACCTCTCAAAAATACTTTCCCTCTAGACCTAGAGAGAGACGTTGGCACTTTTGTCCAACACATCAGGTCTACATTGTCATTCAAAGACACATGTCTTCAGTGGATTATTGACCACCAAAAAACAGACCTAGTCTGCCGAGCATTGAGGAAATACTCTCAACGAACTTGGCCCTGCCGGCGAGACCTTGACAAGGACGTGAAGCCCTACTATCAATATCGGCATCAATTCACTGTTGAGGAGGATCTACTTCTCTACGCCTCAAGGGTAGTGATCCCAGTCAACTGCCGACCCGAACTGCTGAGACTTCTGCATGAAGGTCAATTCGGCATTGTGAAGACTCAAGCCAGAGCGGCAGGCTCTGTATGGTGGCCAGGTCTACAAAGAGATGTGGAAAACACAGTAAAAACATGCCATCCCTGCAGTGAAAAATCAAAGAACAGGAAAATGCCTCTGCTTCCAACTGAATTTCCCGACAGACCATGACAGAGGGTGGCAATGGACCTCTTTTACCATGAAGGTCACTGGTGGTTAATTGTGACCGATTATTTTTCTCGGTACCCAGAAATCGCCTGACTACAGAGTCTGACTACACAGGCAGTTGTCACACACTGCAAGTCAATATTTCCCGACACGGCATACCAGAGGTCGTTGTTTCTGACAACGGACCCCAGTTTTCTCGCGTAGCGACGTCTGCGTTTTCTACATTTGCAAGAGAAAATGGATTTAAACATGTGACATCCAGCCCTCGCTATCCACAAAACAATGGGTTAGCGGAGACTGCAGTAAAAATAATCAAAACTTCGATGTCAAAAACGGAAGACCCCTACAAGACACTTCTCTCGTATCGATTGACACCTCTAAAGAACGGATATAGCCCTGCAGAACTCCTCATGGGAAGGCGGCTTCGAACAAACGTGCCTACAGCATGCAAGATGTTACTTCCCGTCAGCCCCGACATTGATCGACTAAAGAAGTTTGAGAAAGAAAGTCGGGAACAACAAGAAAAGACATACAATCGCCGCCACGGAGTTCGCGACCTGGCGGACATCGTGGATGGTACCGATGTCTGGGTTGTAGACCTCAAGAGAAGAGGTACTGTACAGCAGCCAGCCCAGGAGCCAAGGTCCTTCATCGTAGAAACGGATGAAGGCACCGTTCGGAGGAACAGGACCCATCTTGTTCCCTACACCGATCAAACCCCGGCGCCTGACTCCTCCCACGAATGCCAAGATACCACGCATGCCCACAGCAAGAGTGGCCGCTGCCTAAAACAACCTAGGCGGTACTCTCCTTAAGAAAGGGAGATGTGGTATGAAATGACCTGCCACCTACTGAGCAGCACACCTACCTGCTGGTGGTAGACGACGAGAATAAAGATTCTTATACGTGGCACTCTGGCGTGCGGCAGCATCTCGTTCTTTCTCCGCCAACCTAACACTTTCCACAGAGCGAATATGTTGGAGAGAAGAAAACTGCCTATCATGGCAAGTGGAGAGCTTTGTGGGTGGAGCTTGGTTCACACACTTACAACTGCTTGCGACTGTGCATGCTAAAACCTCTTCTCTTACGACAAGAAAACACACTGGTGCCATCTATCAAGTCACCTCCCAGAACACTTGCGGTTTCCGTACATTTCCTCTTTTTTTTTCGTATATCTTTTTTTTTACTCAAAAAACATTTTACAATGTTATGAACTACTGCTTCTCATAAATAGCATGCATGTTTAATCTAAAAAGTACTGCAAAACCTTCGCTATAGTGAAATGCAGTTCCAGGGTCACCTCATATATGGCGTCAGCATGGCGGCGTGTTCTCTCGTTGCGAGAGGTCACGAGAACTTGTTCCTAGGCAAATGGAAGTGTGAACGGGCCCTAGATATCTTTCGCAAGTGGAGTTTGCTGGTCTAGAGATGTCCTGCCGCACAACGAAGCTTGGCATGCAAGAGATATTCCCGTCCGTTCATTCTCCCATCGCGGTACAGTCATTGGCCGTTGGCACCAAGCCGCATCTCAACGCGACGCCGTGGCATCTTTGCAGGTGGTGCAGCGGCCAGAGTTCCGCGAAATTGTGGCGCAGGACGCGAGCGAGGTCAAGCTCCGCCAGGAGACGGACTCCATCTCGGTGATCGACGACATCCGCTACCACATCGCCGCCAACGCCCGCTCGTGCGCCGAAGTGGAGCTGGCCAACCAGAAGCTGGCGCTCATCGACGCGCTCCTGTCGGACATGGGGCTGGATGCCTGAAGGCCCGGTGCTTCGGTCGCGAGGCCGCCTCTATGGTGCCGGGAATGCGTCTATGACTGGTGGGTTTAGCGCCCCATCACATCCGTGCCTGGCAAGTGGTCTACAAGTGGCTACAAATGATGTCACGAAAGCCGGAGTGTCACGCTGTCGGACTGCTGTCGTCACGGCGTCCCTACCCCTGGCTGCCGGAGCTTCTGGGGACTGTCAAGCTCGAGAGCGACCTCGTGCAGAACAGCCGTCTGCCACATCCAGCACCGAAATTGCGAGAAACGGTCTTCCGTTTCTCGCAATTTTAGAGAAAGCTTCAGATATCTGGCAAGGATGATTTTAAGCACCAATGCGGCCAATTGTCTTCACTCCGAAGCATAGCTTGTTTAGTAACCATAGCCAACATCTCACAGCCTCTCTGTCTTCGAGAGAATAGTGCTGGCAACGGGGAGTTTGCGTCGTCTTCGTTCCATGAAGTTGAGGGTGCCCGATTTAACCTGTTTCAACCGTCGTCGGAGCTGGAATTTTGTACCCTCTGTGACTGCCATAGATGGTTCCAACGTCTGAAAAGCATTCGTTGTGTAATGTGTTGGATTGTTTCAACTTCGGTGTCCGCTGAAGTATTTGCGTGCTCGGCGGTAAAGCCGTTGCCTGGGTGTTGGTGGGCAAGTCGTTGGGAACTCCAGCAGCCACGAATTTGGACACCGAGACGCCCACTTTTGTCCGACTGCTGTGCCGCCGCTTCTTACGGACACTCAAGCACAGAATGCTAAACGGAACGGTCGAAAACATTTACCACGTATACCATAGCGGGAATAAGTTCCGAGGCAGAAATCAAAAATCGAAACGGTCGTCATGACACGAGGTGTTCAGTGCTGTGCAAGAGCTGGTTCACACATCTGTGTTGGTTGCGTTAGCAAGCAACCGAAACGACAGCAACGACAAAGTTACAGGGACAAGTGGTTGCCGTGCTGTGCCAGGGGTAGCTTCGCAAAGCAATCCACGAGTCACGGTTGTTGTAGTTTTCGTCATTACGGTCGTTTCGGTTGCATGAGTACACAATCGTTGCAAATGTGTGAACCAGCCCCTATTTTTAGCAGAATATGAAGTGCCTCGTGGCAGTGTCAAGAGATCTGAAAATGCTGCTACTCAGCTAGGGATCTAATTTGTTTAGACACTGACACTTGTTTCTACTCAAACTGGGAGATGTATGCATGAACTGAGTACTGGTGTGTCCAGTGGTGTTTTTTCAAGTAAGAAGTTTGACTTTTGATGTCACTTTGATGCATCACAGATTTTATCTACATGCAAATGGGATAACTCTGTGATCTGAGAGTATGATTACATTTGCAGTTGGTGTGCAGACAATACAACGAAGCTCAATGTTTTTGGGACCCTGCAATAAACCATGAAAACTGGAAAGAGAAATTTGACATATTTCTTAGCTCAATTTCTTTAAAGAAGCCACTTGAGCCAGAAAAAATTGCCCGTCACATCTTCAACATTCTGAATAAGTTTGTGCGACTGCAACCATAACTCCAAAAATTTTAAACATAAGGAACATATGACATCTCTTTGTTTAACGGACAAAATTTCTCTGGATGCTTTAGAGTTTAGACATTAAATGCTCATACTTTATTTAGAGTTTTGTAAAGTTACCTAGGTGCAAAGTTTCAGGTTTCTTGGCTGAACAGGAAGCATTCATTTTCGGCTTGAGTTGCACTCAACACCGACTTCCAACATTGAAAGCAACAATTCGAAATAAGGCATTGTTTTGCAGTCCAGCCACATTAATAGTGACACTATTACAAAGCACCGCTGCATTTATAGTGAAAGTTACAGCTACGGAGCCCTCTGAGCGAATCGCAAACAGCGCTGTAGGTCTATTTAAGGAATCACGACAAGGGTGCTCTTCTCTTTCAACATATTTATGTGGTGCAAAGAAGTTGCATGAGCGGTAAGTAAACAGGAGACTCTTGGGGAGAGGTATCTGCAGTTTAGAGGTGAGAATCCAAAACATAAAAATAAAACTAGCATTTGCAGTGGCTATATCTTTCTCGCTTCCAGCATTCTCGATGCACATCAAAGCGCAAGGGGTCCTACTTGCGTCGACTCCCGTCCTTTCACTGCCTCGTAAAGTCTATGTACAGTGCACAAAAGCTAAACTGGGGCTGTAAACATGAACACCATGTACGCATGTAGATAGGTATCCACCTTTCTTACTATTGTTCCTTTATTAACAAGACTCCAGTGAGGTTACGCCCTCTTCTCTTGAAAGCTGATCTCTCGGTTCTACTTTGTTTAGTTTATCTCTGAAACCAAAGGCAATTCCTTCAAATCGGGGTTTTAAAGACCCCCGTCCCCTTCCTTCTGATAACGGCTTAAACACTAGTCGAGAACAAGCGTGGGTATGTTTCTACTCTACGAGGCAGCTGCCTTGGAGGCCTTTCCGCTCTGGAACTGCCTGATGCGTTCCTCCATGAGCGGCCTGAAGTGCCTGACGAGCCCCTGGACTGGCCAGGCTGCCCCGTCACCCAGCGCGCAGATGGTGTGGCCTTCGATTTGCTTGCTTAGCTCATAGACCATGTCGATCTCATCGACGCGCGCGTTGCCGCTCACAAAGCGGCCCATCATCTTGTGCAGCCAGCCGACGCCCTCCCGGCACGGCGTGCACTGGCCGCAACTCTCGTGCTTGTAGAACTCGAGCAGGCGGGCGATGGCCCGAATCATGTCCGTCTGCTTGTTCATCACGATCACGGCCGCCGTGCCGAGCCCCGTCTGGGCCGCCACCAGCGCGTCGAAATCCATCAGGACGTCGTCGCAGACGCTCTTGGGGATGACGGGCGTCGACGAGCCGCCGGGGATGACGCCCAGCAGGTTGTCCCAGCCGCCGATGACCCCGCCGGCGTGGCGCTCGATAAGCTCTTTCAGCGGGATGGACATTTCTTCTTCGACGGTGCACGGCGTATTCACGTGGCCCGAGATGTTGAAGAGCTTGGTGCCACTGTTGCGGGTGCGGCCGAACGACGCAAACCACTCGCCGCCGCGGCGGCAGATGGTGGGTGACACGGCCACCGTTTCCACGTTAGTCACCGTAGTCGGGCAACCGAATACCCCGACGTCGGCTGGGAACGGGGGCTTGAGCCTGGGCTTGCCCTGCTTGCCTTCGATGGATTCGATGAGGGCCGTCTCTTCGCCGCATATGTAGGCGCCGGCGCCGCGGTGCACGAAAACGTCGAAGTCGTAGCCCGAGCCGCAGGCGTTCTTGCCCAGGTAGCCCGCCTGATACGCCTCGCGGATGGCGATCTGGAGGTTGGACGCCTCGTTGTAGAACTCGCCTCGAATGTAGATGTAGGCTGCGCGGGCGCCCATGGCCCGTCCGGCGACAAGGCAGCCCTCGACGAGCGTGTGCGGGTCGTGGCGCATGATCTCGCGGTCCTTGCACGTCCCTGGCTCACCTTCATCGGCGTTGACGACCAGGTACTTCGGCCTGCCGTCCGACGGCTTGTTCATGAAGCTCCACTTGAGCCCCGACGGGAAGCCGGCGCCGCCCCGTCCTCTGAGGCCGGACTTCTTGATCTCGTCGATGATCCAGTCGGCTCCCTTGAGGACGATCTCTTTGGTCTTGTACCAGTCGCCCCGGCTCATGGCGCCCTTGAGCCTCCAGTCGTGGCGACCGTACAGGTTCTGGAAGATGCGGTCTTCGTCGCTCAGCGGTCCGAACTTGGTCTTGGTTTGCGGTGGGGGCTGCGCCGGGGCCGATGCATTGTAGCGGCTGGTCGTCGTCAGCGGGTTGCGGACGCTAACGCGAAGGACGGTCTGCAGGCGGCTCGACACTGGCCAGCTGCACGCCATTTTCTCCTCTGCGCAGTGCAGACCGGAAAAGGGACAACAGACGACCCTACAACAACTTCCGGTTTTGTCAAGTTTCGGTTTCGAATAAGCTGCTCCGGGAACCTCGCTTTTCTTTTAGTCCGGTAATTTAAATGTAAAATAGGTTCATCTGCTACCCCAGCATTTTTAAGTAAAAATTATAATACTTCCCTTAGCGGTCACCAAATATTGCGTCCGTAGAACAAGGTCACGAGCACTTTGGAACTGTTTTGAACCGAAGTAACTCGCTGTGAGCGAGGCACCGAAGGCGTCGAATGTGCCTGTGTACGATCATCGACGAAATAGAGTGAGTACACATGTAGACGACACGGTCGGTGAAATGGGTGCTTCCAAGGTGTACAGTGTCCGATGCAGTATGTCACCCCTCAGGTACTGCCTCAAGCGGATCCTGAGCATGATGATTTTGGTGGTCGCCATTGCCCTCGTGTATGTCTTCATTTTCAAGCCAGTGATCGAAAGCTCTGGTCGTATTGCCGTTTAATCATCGTACGGTGCCGTGGTGAAGGTAACTATGAAAAGGGCAAAAGGAGGCAACTCAGCAAACAGCGATGTGCCCATATATATATATATATTTTTTTTTTTTTCCCCTCGGTGAAATAACGCGCTTTTTATCACCTGGACATGTGCGTTGGCGTAGTAATTTGTCAATTTCAGCATCTAAACCAAGCAAAATTGAGGACAAAAATAAATAAATACCGCATGCACATCTTTTTCATCAAAATTAATTGGGGAGCTAGTTGGTTGAACATCTAGATCGTCTAGAACACATTTTTTTATTGATATGTAAACACAGCTCAAAAGGGGCGCTTTACGTTGTGCTTTACGTAATTTGTTCTAGACTTGCTATCTTTACCCCTCTGCTTTATCCTAACAGATTCCGACGAAAGAGCCCACTTCTCTGCCCGTGAGCAACGCGCGCATGCATGAGGGAAGTCCGTGGGAAGTCCACTGATTCGAAAGTCAAGAAAGTATCAATAGAAATGCTAGAAATGAATGTCACGCAACATGGCGAAGTGAGGTTACAAATAAAGTAATGTTTGTCGTGTGTTACAGACACGGTGGCTTCTGAAGCTGCGATATAATAAAAGACTAACTCTAGGCTTCCAAACAGCGCAGAGGCAGAGCCGCCAGCAACAAGCGTCCATACGGTTGAAGCATAAGGCAGGTGAAGTCTTTAAATTGGAAGGAGAGTTGCGCCACCTAGGGAGGAGAAAACAAAACTCGTGGTGCTGTGTGGTAGAGCCCCCTTCCGGTGACCGATCGGAGCAAAATAAGGTATTTAAAACCTAAATTCCTACATAAATGTGCAAATAATATAATATTTAAGTAAAGAGATATATTTACAACGCCTGTTTGTCTTATAAGAACTTATTTTATATTACATATATACACACAGGAGCGGTAGACTCTATAATGTTTGACAATGGTCACCGAACAAAACACTTCCTTGTGATGGTGGGCATAAATAGCTGGAGTGCTACTTGGTGTGTTGTACTTCCAAAGTACATATACTAAAATTGGAACGATACAGAGAAGATTAGCATGGCCCCTGCGCAAGGATGACACGCAAAATCGTGAAGCGTTCCACATTTTTTGACGATGTTAACAATTAGACGCGCAAAGTGAGTGGTTTCCGTCCAATTTCTTCGCCTTTTTTATATTTATAATGAGCATGTTTGTGTATGATAAATGTTTTTATGACAGCATTTATGTCCAAAAATTTCCAATTTCGAGCCGCCTATGTTTAAACTTTTGCACATCTTGTATGATTATTTTCACGCACCGATGCGTGAAAAATAGAAAAACAGTCAAACATTTTTTTTTTCTACAAGGCGGAAACTATTGTTTAAAAAGTTGCAGCAGGTTTCATCTTTAACAAGAAAAACAAAGATTGATCGGATTGTCCTTTTTTTAAATTTTCCTTATCTCCTGCTTTTCTCAAGTTTTGAATCACGACTTCCTATTTAGTGACAACTCATTACTGTGAGTGACTAAAAAATCAATCGCTCGCTGCGGAAAAATATTACGCTGGTTAAAAGAAATAAAAAAGTGGCGGTCGAATGCTCCCATCGAGTTATGAATCATAGCTTCCTATTTACTGACAACTGAATATTACTGGGGGTAACTCATGGGATCCGGACCATACAGCGTGCTACCCAAACGCACCAGCTTATATACCGACACTTTTCAAGACCTACCCTCTCAGATAGCTAAACTAGGACACAAGATCCTAAATAAAATCCGACATTATATAAACAAATAAGGCATTTATAATAGGGAATAGATGAGGTGACTTATTCCTGTTACTCATAAAGTTTAGAAATCATGCTGACTAATCCGTTTCCTTGGAAATGTTGGACTCTTGAAGGCCCGGCCGCGTTACGAAGACAACTGAGCCATCTGAAAACGCTGAAAACTCGCCATCCTCGCCACTCATACAAAACGTGAAACCGAAACCGGCGTTTATGATAAGAAAAGAGGGACATTTAAGACAAACATAAATGTCCCTCTTTCCTTATTTTAAATTAGAAACCAACACGCTCAACCATCTACAAACCAGCGTACTTTTCGCGTACCGATAGTTGAAATATGTCGCACAAGTGGCGCGTCGGTCGCCCATTTTCGATATTGAGCGCGCGGCTAAACGGCAAAACTGGATTGCCTTTGTAACGGACGTCAACATCAGTCAACATTATAGCTGCTTTGTTTTTTCACTACTGCTCGCAAAACAAGCCGTAATTTCCCGAGTGTTGGAACAGTCCGCATGAGCATGAGTGCTGCGAAACCAAGCGTGGCCTCCATGGCGACGATGCGGGACGCGTACACGGTGTGCCAAAACAAACCGAACGCCTTTGCCAAGGGACTGGACGTCATGAACAAACTGCTCCGAGACACTCCGTCGAGCGATTTCGTGTCCCAGCTGACTCCAGTCGTGCAAATTGTGCTCTCCAACACCGAGAGCGGCGAGTACGCTGAGCGTCTGCTCGACTTCACAGCGCAGTTCCTAGCGGGGACGACTTTGACGTCTTCCGCGACGGCGGCGGCTGACGACTCCGGCGTTACCGGCGGTGACAGCTGGCTCCTTGTTCGGATGCTGGACGCCGCGCTAGAGTGGAGCACGTCGGACTCGAAAGTAGTGCGCGAGCGCTGCTGTCGGCTGGTCGAGAAGACGCTGTGCAACATCAAGGACGAGTACGCCGTCGACGAAGACCTCTTCGACCGGGTCGAGGCCGCCATGATGGCGCGACTCAAGGACCGCATCGGCGCCGTCCGCGCAGCGGCCGCGGGAGCCCTCTCGCGTCTACAGGACCCGTCCAATTCGGGCTGCAAAATCGTCGAGGCCTTCTTGTTCCACTTGGAGCACGACCCCTGCGTAGAGGTCCGGAGCGCCATCGTGACTCGGATGGTGCCGTCCACCAAGACTCTGGCGGCCATCGTGGCCAGGACTAGGGACGTGAAGGACGCAGTCCGACGGCTGGCGCTGGAGCGCCTCGTCGAGAAGGTCCCAGTCCGCTACCTGTCTCTGAGACAGCGAACGGCCGTCATCGCGATGGGCCTTGGCGAATCGGCGGGCGCTGTGCGGACCGTCGTGACGCAGAAACTCATCCCGACCTGGCTGCAGCAGACCAAAGGGAGCCTGGTGGACTTCCTGAGGCTGCTGGACGTGCACGGCTCCACCGAGAGCGTCGAAAGCTTCCTCGACTGGTACCTGGCGGAGCACGACCTCAAGCGGGCGGCGGCCGACTTCGCGAGTGCCTGCTTGGATGAGGACAAGTTGGTCCCAGAAGACAAGCTCAGCAGCGAGACGCTCCTCCTCTGGCGCTGCCTGGTGCTCCACCTCCGTGCCGGCGGGTCGGCCGACGCTGACGCGCTCGTCGAGTCGGTCTTCCCGGACACGGTGGTGTATTGCGGCTACCTGGTGAAGCACGTATGCGCCTTTGACGAGTCATGGGATACGCTGCGCCAGCTAGAGCACCGCTTTATGTCCCGGCAGCTGCTGACCCTGGCCCAGGCGGCAGACATTAGCGACAGCGCAGGCAGGGCCCGCCTTGTTGAGACTGTGCACATGCTGCTTGCGTCGCCTAAGGTCGGCTCCGTGCTGGTGCAGCCGCTCATGAGGCTGTTGGGGCGCATATTCCCCAGCACGGACCAGGTAGCCCAGGAGGTGGCATTGGCCATTTCGGCAACGGCCCCCGCCGCCCCGTCACAAGAGGCGCGGGAGGTGGCCGCGGCGCCACTTGTTGCTAGCATCGACGTGGTCAAGATGCGCGTGAAGCTCAACATGCTCCGCGAAGACCTGTCGATCTGCGTTGAGCGGGAGCAGTTTGCCGAGGCGCAGGAACTAAAGAACAAGGTGCTCGAGCTGGAGCAGACGCTCCGGGATGTGCAGGCGGCCGCCGAGGTAGCCCTCGAGGAGTTTCAGGAAGACGGGAGGGTGGAACAGGACAGTGCAACGACCCTCAAGATCGCCACCCTAGTGACCGAGATGCTGGCTGTCACGCCCTTTGCCTCTGTGTCCCCATTCCTGCAGACCTGCCTCGACGACATCGTGCTGCCGGGCATCGTGAGCACCGACACGGCAGTCCGCAAGCAGGCCACGCACGCCCTGGGCCTCTGCTGTACCCTGAGCAAGCGGGCCGCACTAAAGCACATGCAGCTGCTCTTCCAGATCGCGCTCGCGGACACGCCGCAGATCCGCGCCGTCGCGCTGGCTGGTGCCGTGGACCTCATCCTGGCGTTCGGGGTGGAGCCGTTCGACTCTGTCCTGCGGAACCTGTTCGAAGATGATGACGACGATGACGAAGAGGCGACGCCTCGGGATGCGTCCGCGCTCCTTGTTGATTGCCTCATCCGCTATGTCGACGACGAAGACGACCATCTGCGTGCGGTGGCGGCGGAAGGGATGGCCAAGCTGCAGCTGTATGGCCGCGTGTGCTCGCCATCTTTACTGTCCGTCATGGTCCTCCAATGGATGCACCCGAACACGGACCCAGACTCACACCTCCACCAGGTCTTGCGGAACTTCGTGGTCGCCTACAGCCACGGCGGCAGCCCCCAGAGCCTGCGCTGCTTCGAGATGGCCTTCTTGCCTACATTGGCCGCAGTCTTGGATGCGCCGGCATCGAGTCCTCTGGCGCGCCTCAGTGCCGCAGACCTCCTCAACTTCCTGGTGGATGTGACGCTTCCGCGGTCGGCCGATCGGCCCGGGCAACGGGTGCCGGCGTCGGCGGCCACCGAAGCGACGCCACACGACCGCCTGGCTGTGGAGCTGTGCCGCGAGGTCCTCAAGGACCCGCACGACGAGGACGCGCTGGTTTTCCTGAAGGCCCTTACCATGCTGGAGGTCACCGAGAGGGCGTCGGTCGAAGACCTCATGTCTGCGGCGCGCAAGATGCGCGACAAGGTCAAGGCGAAACGGGGCGCTGCCCTCGTAAAGAAGTTTGAGGACAAGCTGAAGACGCTGGCGGGCGCGGCCACTGCGGACAGGGATGGCGAGCCGTCTTCTTCGGCCAGCGTTGTCATCGACTCGTCCACGCTGACCGACGGGAGCTGCAGCCTCTTCGGTCGGAGCGCGAGCATGTCCGTGGGGCCCACGGAGAGCGGTGCTTGTTCAGGGTCGGGGTCGTCCGGAAGACGCCTGCTCGATTCGCAGGACCTGTTTCCACTGAGTAATGACCCCTGAGCGTTTCGAGAAGTTGGCTCGTGCACGCCTTGGAAAACCCGGCGGGCTTCAGAGGACGACTGCCGGATTTGGCGGAGCATCCGACTTCCCCTCAGTGGCTCGTTTCACGCTGCTCTGCATGGCAGAGTGGCAATATTTGCAAAGGACTCCTTGTCTGCTGTTTTATGTCTGTATTTGTACTTGATGAAATAAGTTTGTTCCCGTTCTTCACTGCTCGTTTTTAGCATTTCTAACTGTATCGCATTTTAAACTGAATTTATTTTGCATTAGAGATGGCGGCAACAGAGGATAAATGCTGCCTTGACACGGCTGGGGAGAGCTGCACGTCCCCCTCCCAAGCGACAGCAGGCGAATCAATAAGGAAGCACATTAACATTCAACTACATCAGGAGAGCGAGATATTTTTGTTAGAATTAAATATAAGTTGCATGGTTTTGCATCTGTGCATTACTGTTGACAGTGCTGTTTGTGTCGTCAATTCCAATTCATTGGAGAAGTGGTCTCCTGATTGCTAGTCGTCTCTATGCAGGGAGTTGGGGCTCAAGAACAAATTATCTAGAGATGTCTCCTATGCCCCTACTTTTCTTCTGTTGAACTTTTGGTTCAATACGAGAAATTTGGCGTGATACATCAGTACTTATCAGTTGTACTTACCTAAAAGTAAATGTACAAAATGCACCCCCCCCCCCCCCCCTCCCCTCCAAAAAAAAAAAAAATATATATACTGTAAACGACTAAATTTTCGTGAAAAATGCACCCCCACAAATTCGGGCAATATGTGAACGCCGTGGAAGCTACACTCGATTCGCGAAAATTAGAAACCGCGAATAATTTCAAATTTTCAGCTTTGGCCCGATTCGGAAAAATCTGAGCCCGTGAAAATTAAGTCGTTTAGAGTATATGTTATTGTAAAATATCGGGCAAGCACCCACTCAAAATTTAGAGATGATCGCGAAAGAATGGGGGATGAACACTTGTCCGGTCATCAATTTTACATATCAATGTACTGTGCATATTTTCTCAGATCTTACAAATTTGGGAATGGGCGGATGTGCAGTATTCTACGGTAGTAGTTTTTTCCACCGCCAAAATTAAACTATGCATCACCGAACATTCATTCACCGCCCAAATGCAGCGATAGTGGTTCGAACCATTTGCCAAAGTTTCAGCACAAACAATTACTTTATTCAAAATTTAATAGCGATTTTGTTAAATTTTTTAATGGGAACATGGAGCTTTCGCCAGTTTTTTTGGTAACTCGCGCCATGGAGCTCTGGGCATTCGAGAGCTCTGTCGGCCGCCATATTCCCATTGAGAACTCCAGAAAATCGTTTGTAACTCTGAAACTTTGACAGGTAGTTTAAACCTCTAGCGCTGCATTTGTGCAGAGAATGAGTGGTCGGCAATGCATAGTCTATTCTTGCAATAAAAAAAAAAAATTTTTTTTTTGGGGGGGTTGGGGGGATACTGTGTAGTTTGGGGACAATCTATTGCATCCTTTATCAGTTTTGGGTGAAAATTCTTCCCCACTTAGGAAGTGGCTTGAGGCTTGACAGTGCAACTAGTGAATTCAGTCCAAATTCACTTGGCCACTTGTAACAAAGGGGGGGTGCAACAATTTTCAAACTTCTGCCGATTAATTGCGGGAATAGAACTCTCGCAGAATTGAAGCGATCCTGGTGGTGTAGTGTCGCGCAAAGCATCTTGGATACCCTTTCACCAGTTTCGGCAGGCTTTGATTTCAATTTGCCAACCTCATTTCACGACATCCCGCGACGACCAAATACAGGGCGTGCATTTTCGAATGGGCGACTTTCCTAAATTTATGGTGTTGCCTACCAATACAGATTGAATGCTGGGGCAGGCTTTTTGGGGCTCCCGACATGCCAGAATTTGTGCGCAGGCAGACACAGGAAGAAAACTAAGTGTAGCAAGCCAGTCATCCTTCTCCATTGTCTCAATGACCACACTGCACTCTGGAGAGGTGGCCAGAAAGGTACGGGACGCGGCAGGTCTTTATGGCTGCTGAAGCTCCGCACTTCAACGAGGACTCTCGTGAAGATAGATGGGTGTAGTGCAAGCGAGCGCGGCTTTATTTTCAAGCTGTGCTGATGCGCCACTTTGTCAACGATGCGATCGAAATTTAAATCGTGCCACTCCTCTCCATGGCCGAAGTCCCATAATGCCATTCTTGCAGTGTTACATGGCTTTTTTTTTTTCTTTTTTGGAAGTAGTCTATTGGGCAATGTCACGTGTAGAATGAACAGAAAATTTCATTTTCTTGCATCTGCAATAATGAAACAAATTGAAGTTTGGGGCTGGGGAGTACCAGATTGTTTTCCAATGGGCTTTGTCTTGAGGGCCCCCAACACTCCTCCTCTGATTGGCGACTTTACAAGAGCTTGGCATCGCCCAGAGCGAGCGATCGAGACAAAAGACTTTGAACGGGAAAGGTAGCTACGGAGAGGAAATAGTTTGAACTTCAGTTAGATAGCCGCCCCACAAACTTGTCCACCCTCCTCACGTGACACTGCTGTTCCAGTGACTGCCATGCACAGCGGTAGATGGGGACATGATGCAATTATGCAGCGGCATCGCAGCATTTCGAGGAAGGTGGTGCATTTCGTGCCAAGATGAATATAAAAAACACAAGGAGTAAATTCTTTCAACGTTACAATCGTTGCACCGCCGCTTTAAACCTGCATTCCAGGCATGGCTAGACTTTGCTGACAACACCTGCTGCCCATTTCTTATCCTGGAGTTCTTTACCACTTCAGTGAGGTTCTGTTGCAATACCCCACACACGACATGCACTCTTGGGACCCAAAAACAAGAAGCACCACAGGCAGAAAAAGACGGCAGTAACGCACCACTTTAATAAATATATGCTTTATTCGTCTCTCTCAAGCCCCCTCCCAAGCTGCAACACAGTGCTCCGCAACAGGCGGCCGCTGACACTGCTCCATTCCGAGAAAACTTTTGCGACGCATTACAAAAAAAAGGGGATTATGCATGACGATATGATTGACTTCTTCGCCCACGCTCCGACGCGTCACGAGCCCCGACGGAAGACGGGTACCTTCCAGGGTGCGGCTTTCACTGGTTTCGTCCCCCAATCGTCTATTCGGGGCGCACAGTTGAAAGAGAAATCGGGAAAGAAGAAAAAGGAGGCTCGGCACGATTCGGGAGTATTTGGATGTCTGAGCAGATTGGTACCGCACCTGCCACGCCCTTGGAATGCTCGGCTGACCCCCCTATGTACACCGCAGGCGCTGGCAATGTGCACCGTGCACGCATCCGAGAGCGCCGGTCACCGATGCGTCTGCAAAGCTGGCAACCCACGACTTAAAAGCAAACAGAAAATTCATCTGGCTAAAAAATGAGGCAGACCCTGTACAGTTTAAACAGTTGCTCAACCGTGGGCAAGACAGCACGCAAGAAGATCTCGAAGGGTGCACTTACTGCGGACCCGAGAGAATCGATCTAGCCGGTGAAAGCGAAACGTCGAGATCCGGTCTTCGAGCCAAGACAATGAGCGGGTGCCGTCTAAAAGATTTGGGCCCATGAGTGGAGACGCTCCCGCCTTTCCCCCGCACGGCTTCCTGCCCTGCTAGACGCACGGTACACCGGTCGCGATTCTTTCCCTGTGGCGGTTGCACAACTTCAGACGTTTCTCGGTTCGAGACCGACGAACAACAATGAATAGATCTCTCCTGCGAGCTCCTGCGGCCCACCAGAAGCCAACGGCGCAAAATACGTGCGGCCGGACGTTCCTGCACGTTTCGTTAGGAAGAGGCGACGACGCAAAAGCGGGATAAAACGGAAAGAGGCATGTAACCTCAAACTCGACGACGACGGCCGTGCAGACCGAAACGACGTGCAAACTTGGGGCAGTCCAAACCGAATTCCTGCAGCACCGCGAGCAAAGAGAAAGGGGCGGAAGCACCGACAAACCACCGTTCCCCTCGCCGCTCCGTCGTAAACGCGGATGCCGCACGTCTGCCGGACTTCCACGGGCTGGCGGGGGGAGGAGGGGCGAGACCGACGCTTTGGAAAAAATACTAGTGTGTACGGAGCGGGCTGCGGCGGAGCGGCGGTTTCTTCTCAGTCTGCCTTGGTACTGATGCGCTGGTAGCCGCGCGACCCCGACGAAGAGTCCAGCTGGTCCCAGTCCTCGTCCCATCCGGCATCCCAGTCCGGGTGCGTCTTGTGGGACCCGTCCTCCCCGAAGTCAATGAGCAGCTTTTCGTCGCCCGTCTTCTTCTTGGAGGACTTGACGGAGGAGGAAGAGGAGGACGAGGCCTTCGCCGGCGGGCTTTTGGCCTTCGCTGGGGGGCTCCTGGTTTTTGCCGGCGGCGACTTGGTGGAGGTCGGCGTCGCCTTGGGGCGTGGCGGGGACGCCGGCGTGACGGGCTCCCAGGCGTCCGTGGTGCCCCAGTCGTGCCAGCCGTCCGAGCCCCGGCGTGCTGCGCTCGATGTGGAGGTGGGGCTGTACGAGGAAAGCGATTGCACTGGGACCGTTTTCTAGGCAGGGAGAAAACCGACTCTCTGTTCTGGGACTTGAAGCAAAAGCCCAAAACGCATGGGTGGTATGGTCATTTTAAATTAAATGTATTGAAATCTAACACTTTTTTTTTTAAATGCATATCTTGAGTTTGCATGTTGCTACAGCCTTGCTCTATGTAGTATTGAAGGTTTCAGAATCAAACATCCATTCTAGTGACCAAGGCAGGAACTACACCGACGTAGATGCAGGTCAGGGAAATCACGTTGCTTTCTTTGCATGTACCCCAATGTCTAGTGCCAGCGGGCAAGAGAAAATTTTTCTTCGCTTCGCTAGAACCCAGAGAAAATGCTTGCACTACATACGAGACCTTCCCTAGGCTCAATGGAGCCACCAGAACATTTGGCCTACTCCTCACATTCCTAGAGGACGTCGATCTACTGTCTATGAGGCCACATGGTGATTTGGGGAATCAGCGAACTGCTGTCGCGTGTCTGCATTCTGGGCTCGGCTACTGTCAAGCAATACAACTGTGACAAACTACCTCGACTCTTCCCACTCCTTCCTTTTCTGGTCTCTTCCTTTTAGGCCCTTTTCCTACCTCGTAACTCTCCCCGAACAAAAGATGTGGCCAAAATGTTCTCGGCTCTTAATACTCCTTTACCAAAATGCAATGCCATATAAGGCTACAAGTTTTTATCGACTAGGATCCCCAACACGTAAAAAAAATGCAACTACCAAAAATGCAATGGCCGTGTAAGTGGCACTAGATCAAGAGGCTCAGACACGCTGGGACACGACCTGATAGAATCTGGCGGCTGTAAACCCCAGTTCCCTTATCTCGAGCATGCGGGTCAAGTCGTTCACTTGTTTCCACTCTAAACTTAAGCTATGGCTCCTATAATGTTTTCATTTATTTTGCACTATAGTGCTTTCTTTTAAAGTGTCTTAATTCTTGCTTCTGAGCTCTTTTCAATGTTAATCACCTATACAACAATCTCGCTACTAAGCTAGTAGCGCGAGCTCTTCGCTCAAAAACACACCTTGGGTGCACTAACTCTCGCTGAGCATGAAAAACTGCAAAAAAGAAGGCTATGGGCTTGGGCTTTTAGATGTCAGGAAATACCACTACAAGTATTACCTTATAAAGCCGCTATCAAAATCGTCAGAAAAGCAAAAAGGTGTCGAGCTCGATTAATTCCCGAGTGAACTGAGCGACAGAGCAACGACACTGTGCTTGTTCTCTGGGGAAATGCCAGCACCTTTATGGGGGCGGTGCCATTTTAGGTATTGTTATCACATTAAGTATGGGTCAAAAGTAGTTGTATTAACAAAACAAAGCTAAAAGTGTCACTGGCAAAAAGGTGAGTTTAAAAAAAAAAAAAAAACATTCCAAGGACATTTAAGCACTTCTTACGAGTTGTGAATGTGAAAGCATGAGTGCCGTCTCTCGGCACTGCCATGAAGTGTGGGGTGGCATCCCTTGGAACTACGCTAAATGCCAGCCAATGGGCATTTATCCATCAATTGAGTGCTACAGACTACAGGCTTCGCTCTATGGGACAGGGGAATTTAGATGCCGTCTGGCGCGGCTTCAAAAGCTGATAACGCCGGTTCGCTCCATGGGACCAGTTAACGCTTTCGCATTAAAAGCAGAGTACAAGGTCCCTTCTCGGAAATCTCTGGTGTGTCGCTGAGAGACTCGGCTGCTTTTGCAACGTAATACATAATAGCCGAGTTTCCTTGTCTCCCTCCCACTTACAATGGCCCTCAACCTTTCGGGGCAGGTTACCTGGCCCCCAGGTACGAATGAGCTTGAGAACCCTGCACTAGATGGTATGTAAAAAGGACGCCCAATAACATGGCTGTTGAGCAACTAATCCGCCATGTCCCGTTTACACATTCTCCCTGATCGGTGGACAAGATATAATGTACGAGCCTCACATACCCAGAGGTGAACAAGACAGAAGCACAGTGTTGCGCACGTACACAAAAGCGGACAAACACGCAAGCAACAGATGGGACACTGAGATAACAAGAATCGGCGCTGATCACAATCTTCGGCCAGGAAGCTCCACAGCGACAACACAGAAGTGCCATCTTTAAATGAGTACTGTGACATACTGCGCAGTTGCATTGTGGGTGGCGGCTAGATTCTAACTTTGCGTTTCTACATAACGACAGTGGCATGCTAAGATAGTCTGCACAAGCGTCAAATTCATAACGCAGATTGCAGAAATATTACGCGACCCTCACCTGAATGTAAAGTTTCCAGACCTGCGAGCCGATTTTACTGCTAGGGATCGTCCAAAGGACTAGCCAAGATAGGTCGAGGACCTCGAACATTAGTTTAGGCTACAATGCAAGGCATGGTGAGAAGCCTGGCAGTTAACAGCAGACGATTGGGGGGTCGCTGGAGGACAACAAGTTCATGTTGTCTTCTAGCATGTCGTCTCATAAACGAATGACACGCAGAAGACGAGCGAAGAGTGGCCGATGTCTGCGAGACGGTCTGCAGAAACCAAAAGCCGCCAAGGAAACAATTGGACTAGCTTGCAGAAAGTTGGCAGACGGTTACAGGAGTGTTAAATTCCATTTCACCTTACGATGGACCACAGTGGACGCCATAAGCCGTCCCATCCAATCCAATGCTGCAAGTGTCCCGAAACTTTTACGGCCACACAGAGACGCACGGAACGCACAGTCACGTGATACATTCTCAGCGTTGGATTGGCTGGGACCGCTCGTAGTGTACGCCGCGGTCCATTGTGAGGTATACCGAAACACAAAACTTCCCTCCCAAAAAACTGACAGGGTCTTGTTCACCGCAAAAATAAACTGTGCACCGCCAAATGCTCATTCTCTGCCCAAATGCAAATTCAGAGGCCTCAACCAGAAGCCAAAGTTTCAGAACTGACCGTCACCTTATTCAAAAGTCAAGTGATTTTCTCAAATTTTCAATAGAAAAATGGCAGGTGACGAAGCCCTAGAATACGTGAAGCTGAATGGCACCAGTTACAAAGAACAAGCTCCATTTTCCCATTGGAATTTTCAGAAAATTACTAACTTTTGAATGAGATAACATAACACTTCTGAAACTTTGCATCTGGGGGGTCGTTAAGGGGAGAAAAAAGGAAAGGCTGTTCTTGTGGGGTCGGGTCCGCTAATGCTACACTTGGGTGGAGAACAAGCGTTCGGCAACTTGCAATTCATTTTTGCGGTGAAACAAATTACCATTTTCGGGGGGAACACGTCGTATAATGCCTGAATGGCAGACGAGCCGCTTAGCTCTCGTCGAGGCTACGTTCCTTGCCTTGCCCTCGTCCACTTGGTGCATCCAGTTCTATGAATATCCATCAACTAGTCAATTTTCCCGTTTCATTTCTATGGGAGTTTCCTGGCCGAACATATCACGAAGAGGCGGCGCAACAGTTGCCCCGCGCACCTGGCGCCGCTGTGTGCCCACTGCCAGCCGTCCTGGTCTCGCTCGGCGTTGTACGGCTGGTCCTGGTGCAGTAGCGGGGTGTCGCTGCAATCGGCGCTCGAGTTCCTGCGGGGTGTGGACGCACACGGACAATGCACGACACGACAGGGATGCACACACGCCGAACGTGGCAAGCGACAACATGCAGGCCGACAAAACCCTCTTCGGGCGCTCCAGACGCTGAGCCCGGAAGCGCTCGGAGAAGTTGAGGCTTTGAGGCTAGTTCACATGCTTGCGATTGCTTACGACCAAATGCTTTAAAACCTCTTGGGATCTCTTATGACGAGACAACACACTGGAGCTGTCTATCGAGTAGCCGTAAAAAACACTCGGCATTTTCGTATAATTTCTTTTCGATCGAAGAGGTGATGACAATGTTATAAATGACCCTTTCTTATAAATGGTTGCTGCGTTCAACTTAACTGCACCAGTGAAGAAAAGCTTAGCGCAGTGCAGAAAAGTGCAGGGCAACATACTTCCGGTTGTGTTTTGAGATAGGTCACACTCGTAAATCAAATTTGGTGATGAATCAGATGCAGTGAGTATCTACATTTGATCTCTCAAATACTGCAAAAACCTTCGCTCTAGTGCAATGCAGTCACAGAGTCGCCTCACAGATGGCAACAGCGTGCCGGGGTGTTCCATCGTCGCAAGAGAATGCACAAATTCGGTTATAAGCAGATGCGAGCGTGTGAACAGGCCCTTCCCACGAGCGTCGTGGCTAAGACATATCGAGCTTGTATATATTGTCTGCATGCTGTACAAGCATCAGTATGGTGCATGACACGTGCGACTGGCTGTTTACCGTGTCTTCATTTTTGTCTGTTCGATTTCCGACCAGTGACATCAGAACTGTCGCACGCTGCAGCTTGTCACGATTCTGCAAGTCAAACAGCAGCGAGGGTGGACACACTCTACACCTATCCTGCTGTGGCTCACTCTGCAGCTGGCTGTTCAAGGAAAACATCCACTCTTCTTTCCTCATATTTTTACAACCAACCGCCAGGATCGCAACAACCGTCTTGTTGTTCTTACGGGGCTACTCCGATGCATGGGCAGTGCAGACCGCTAAACACACCAGTCGAGGACGCGTCGCAGGCACCGTAACAATGGTTCACGAAGGCTGCCATTGGTAGTCAAATGTTCCAGAAGTATTCAGAAACACGAAGCCACCTTAAAGGGCAACTCCGCTCAATTCAGAAGATTTCAAGATAACGAGCGATTTGCATTAAAAAGCCCTAGTAAGAGACGCTACGTCATTTGCTTCGTGAAGAATGGTATATATATATTTTCAAATCTAATTTTAAACACGAGTAGAAATCGAAACCGAAACTTCGGATCTGTCCGGCAACAGTGGCCTCGGGCCGCCAAGGACATGACTATCACGTGGTACGAGATGTCGCGTGATCCTCTCCACAACGACGGGTGGGATTGGGGCGGGCGGGCGTGTGCCAGGCGAAAGTGTCATGTGCACTGCACTCTTCACCATGTTTTGGCGTCTACAACATTCAATGATGTCTGCACAATTGCGGCATAAGTCTGCACACGTAGTGGGGACGAAACCCCGAGAGGCAATAATCACAAACGGTGAGACGACGACGGCGGTTGTGACGCAAGAATGGTGGCAACGGCGAAACTATGGTGGGGCGGCCAACTGGCACCCAAGAGGCATGCTGCGCAGGCACGTTACGCCAATCATGTGGGCACTGCTGAGCACCAAGAAGAAATGTTGCTGACGTCAACCGTTACGCTTGCCCAGAGAAGTAAAAACAAGCAAAGGAGGGCAATAGTGATGACATTTAGCTCAATGTTGGTTTTGCCCATGCCACAGCCTTGACTGCGCTGTTGGTTTCGCCTCAATTCGCCCGCTCGAATCAGCCGATTCCGGAAACTTGGTGAGTTGCAAAGTTTGCGGACCGTTTAAGAAACATTAGACAGAACTAAGTCGCGATATTTCGCGTGTGGTCTTCTTAAGTGATACTGAAGAGGACTGCATTGTTTTTTCAAAACAAAAATGAAGCGGAGTTGCTTTTTAAATAAAGTTATCTGCTGAACGCTTCATACACTTGCTCTTTTATTATTATTTTTTTTTTTTTTTTTTTTTTTTTTTTTGCATAGCGTGCACGTTAAAGGGGTACTCCGCCGATTTTTGAGCTACCTCAACTAACTATATTTTCTGACTCCCAGGCCTTCACCCGTTCTGGAATGCTATTTAATATCATGAAATTCATAATAGTTATTGCGAAATCGGCAAATGAAAATGATGCAAAAACAGACATTCAAATATACCCGCCCTTTTCAGGGCCGTGACGTCAGTGGAAGTTCAGCTTGCCAGTCGGGCGAGCAGTCTAAAAAATAGAATATGCCAATTATTTGTTCCGTGCTGGAGCGCGGGGACCAGTGATGCGGAGTTGCCACTCCGGAGTTGGAATGATTCCGGAATCATTCCGCATTTTCTCGACCCCGGAATGGAATGGGAATGGAATGGCGGCAACGTTGAGGGGAATGGAATGGGAATGGAATTGGATGCCTTTTGCCCGGAATGGAATGGGAATGGAATGGGCCAAGTTCTTAATATTTTTTATTCATTTATTTATTCAGCGAGTCAGTTGTTCAGAAATAAAATGAACGGGAAACTGCGAACCTGCGTAAGGCCCTAACAGACTTATACGCGAAAGAAAATGCAATAAAAAAGAGTCAAAGCAAAGAACAAAGGGGGGGGGGGGGGGGGGGGGCGGTGGCGCCTTTCACCAGTGAAGTTCAACACATATCCGAATGCGTCTGCGCCTGAAACATTGCACGGCTCAAGGGTACGTCATCAGCCGACGTGAACGTGACCCGCAGCTCTGGTGATCCGATACCCAGGAAGGAGGCCAAACGTGACCTCACTGTGCGGACCCAGACTTCGTACACCTGCAACTCGTCTCGAACGCGCTGTTTGCTCGCACCTGTGCCGGCCATCTCAGGTCGCAATTCACGAGGTCTCTGTTTGAATGATGCTAGGCGAAACTTGAAGACTGCCGTTCATGCGTTGGAGGCGGAGGGTCCGTCACAACAGGGATGCCACCGTATCGATTTTTCAACCGTAACAGAAGATTAGACATGTGCTTCAGGATGCTTCAGGTGGCCCACTTTTCTCGAAAATTCCATGGTCTTCAACGAGGTAGCCTACAACGAAAGTACGTACTGTCCTTTCATACAGCAGCGTGGGTAAAGTTTCATGTTCAAGGCAACACCTACAGATACAAGAATACTAGCAATACTAGTTCATCCCACCGTGACGTCAGTTGATCAGTGCTGACAGGGGCGCCCTTGTTGGACAGGGAAGTGATGATGTTTTGATGGAATTTATTTAGAGGTCAAAATCTTTTCGCATCACTGGTCAGACAGACAGGATGCCAGGGAAGGGAGCGCGGTCAATCCTTGATGAAATGTTTTTTGAACCCATTGAAGACTTTTCGTCCGGAACCACTACCTTCAAGGCGAAGTGTTAAGCCTACGAAAAAGTTATTTCGGGACAACAAAAAAACTTCCACTTCAAGCTTAGAGCCTCATCTCAGTTGGCGTCTCAAAGAAATTAAAAAAATGTATTGCATTATCAGTATTTATATTTCTGCCCTCGCTAAAGTGTATTCTTGTATTTGTATTTCGAAATACTTTTTTGCCTCTTTTTAAAATGTATTTCGGATACGTATCGCGATACATTTTTACAGATATATTTGAGACTTGAGTATCACTATTTTAGCAACTTTTTTCATTTATCCCAGTATTTGTATTTTTAAATACATCTTTAAATATTTCTGCCCAACCCTGAAACGCAATGCAGCTGTTAAGTGACACTTTTAACATTTAGAAATCAAAGGAATGGAATGGAACGTTTCAGCCATTCCAGGAGTGGGAATGGGCCCAGTGTCCCCATTCCTAGGAGTTGAAAGGAATGGAATTATCGCAAACTCTAATTCCCCGGAATGGAATTGGAATGGAATGGGGGTGCCCATTCCGCAACACTGGCGGGGACTGGAGCGAGCTTCCAAGGCATTCATTTGACACCATGAAACTGCTTCAAATCAGTTGGGAACAAATTCTACAGTCCAAAGAGTGAACCCCTGCACTTCCAATGACGTCACTTTTTCATTGTTGCCAGTAGAGACTTTCAGTTTGAAAAACACGGTGAGGACCAAAATTGTAAATTCAATAACTTCGTGAAAAAAAAATTATTTTGACCTAATATTTGGGATACTATTTTGGCGATGTTGTTCGGCGAGTTTAGCAAAATTTCAAGCAAATCGGGGACCATGAAGAAATCGGCGGAGTACCCCTTTAAGTGCCTGACGTCGACAAGAATGAAAGCCGGCAAATATGTGGAAGCATTGCTACAAAGCAGGTAATTGCACACACTCGAATCAAATTTCAGCCGGCTACGCTCAGTTGCCGATTTGTTTTTTTTTTGTTTTTTAGATTTGTGACAAGACAACTTACTTTGCCGGCTGCTTAGCCGTCCTGGCGTCTTTCCGTGCCGCTTTAGCTTCCGTCAGCAGCAGCGAATGCTGACAAGTGGTTTTACTCCGCCAGCTCATCGCGTCCAGAAAGACGGCCGGATGCGCACTTTTAAAATTGCTACGACTCCGTTCAACCAATCGAAAGCCTAATCAGATCGCGGTCCTCCCGCTCCTCCTCCGCCGCGGCGGCCAGAGTCGCCGTCTATAAATAGAAACAATCAGTGGTAATGCGCGCTCGCTCGACAACTATGACAACCCGCGCCTCCGTTGCGACACGAGACGCTCCAAACTACTGCTCCGAATCGACATCGGAGCCCAAAATCGCAAAATCGCGACGAAACGTCACCAAGTCCGCAGCTCGCCACGATGAAGCAGGTCGGTCCTCCCGGAATCGACGGAAGCCCGACTGTCAAAACCAACAACCGGAAGAAAAAAAAAAAAATCAAAGATGGCGCTTCTGCCGCGTCGCGGTCGTCTGCTGCGTCTGCTACCGATACGGCGGTCACCCGAATACGCTTCCGCGCCGACTCGTTGCCGTAATAACTCTGCGGTACGAAACGACGCAGA